GTTGAAATATTGCTAAAGCTGGCGTAAAACCATACTCACTCACTTGGGAGTCATGGCCATGCATATGTATGGGGATATTGGGGCCGTCGTGCCTCAAGGGGAGACTAAACATGCTCAAATTGTCAGTTCTTGTCGGGTTGGTTCACGTTTTTCAAACATAACTTTGTTTGCTTGATCGGATTGTATGTAGTCAATATCTATCTAAGAAGTAAGGAGTACCCCGATTGTCCCAGTCTCATACAAGGCATTAAGTACGACGTCTATACCTGGACTGAAAATGAGCGCGAGTCGAGGAGCACAAGCCCCCTTTCTGTCTTAAAATATATCTAAATATCTAAAGACTCGGTAACGGTAAAACAGTCTCAAACAACTAAGGGAGATTACTCTCGATCATTCACATTTTCATGAAACTTATAGTAAGTGAAGTGATCGTAAAATAACCAGTGTTCCGACATCAACTTTGTAGCTATGGCAACCCATGTTGATCTATTAACTTCGGGTTTGCCGTCACAGACTGCTAGTGGAATACTCTCGGCTAGAAGACAGCAACACAGCGGGATAGGGCAAATTATCCCCTTAACTTCTTCAGTTGTTGATTAGTTTACTCTCTATAACAACTTCAAGATATCTTAAGACCTGACTCGGTACAGCCGCCTCACCTGCTGTGTTGCTGTCATCTTGTCGTTATAAGATCCAAGGAAGGAAGGAAAACAGACTCGTGTGTATACCATTCATCAATATTTATTTAGATATAATCAAGTAATAGAATGGCAAGTGCTAAAAGAAAGTATCTGAATCGGGGCCAAAAAGGAAGAACAGTCCTCTGAATAGAAGACAAATAACCTCGAAATGACAGCCAAAGGGTATGCCAAAACCTACTAGATCGAAAGAGTGAGTCCAAACATAAGCCAAAAGGATGTAGCCAAAATAGACCAAAAGGGGGAATAGTTTACTAGACGAGCACCAAAACACACCCTCTCACACAAAATCACTTACACCCGAACATGCACGCAAAACACATCTTCATCACCCATACACACTCACACACAATCAGACAAGCAAAACACACGCTCTCACATGCACACACAATCACAAATGCAAAACACATCCTCTCACATGCACACACAATCACTAATGCAAAACACCCCCCTCACATGCACACAGAATCACACATTTAAAACACACCCTCTCACATGCACACACAATCACATATGAAAATCACACCCTCTCACATGAACACACAATCAGACATGCAAAACACATCCTCTCACATGCACACACAATCACATATGCAAAACACACCCCTCACATGAACACACAATCTCATATGCAAAACATACCCCTCACATGAACACACAATCAGACAAGAGAAAACACACCCTCTCACATGCACACACAATCACACATGTAAAACACACCCGTCACATGCACACACAATCACACATGTAAAACACACCCTCTCACATGCACACATAATCACACATGTAAAACACACCCGTCTCATGAACACACAATCACACATGTAAAACACACCCTCTCACATGCACACATAATCACACATGTAAAACACACCCTCTCACATGCACACACAATCAGATATGCAAAACACCCCCCTCACATGAACACACAATCACATATGTAAAAGACACCCTCTCACATGCACACATAATCACACATGCAAAACACACCCTCTCACATGCACACACAATCACATATGCAAAACACCCCGCTCACATGAACACACAATCACACATGTAAACCCCCCCCCCCCCCCCCCCTCACATGCACACATAATGACACATGCAAAACACACCCTCTCACATGCACACACAATCACATATGCAAAACACCCCCCTCACATGAACACACAATCACACATGTAAACCCCCCCCTCACATGCACACATAATGACACATGTAAAACACACCCTCTCACATGAACACACAATCACATATGTAAAACACACTCTTCACATGAAGACACAATCAGACATGCAAAACACACCCTCTCACATGTACACACAATCACACATGTAAAACACACCCTCTCACATGCCCACATAATCACACATGTAAAACACACCCTCTCACATGCACAAACAATCACATATGCAAAACACACCCTTCACATGAACACACAATCAGACATGCAAAACACACCCTCTCACATGCACACACAATCACATATGCAAAACACCCCCTCACATGAACACACAATCAGACATGGAAAACACACCCTTCACATGAACACACAATCAGAAATGCAAAACACACCCCTCACATGCACACACAATCACTAATGCAAAACACACCCCTCATGTGAACACACAAACAGACATGCAAAACACACCCTCTCGCATGCACACATAATCACATATGAAAAACACACCCCTCACATGAACACACAATCACATATGTAAAACACACCCTCTCACATGAACACACAATCACATATGCAAAACATACCCCTCACATGAACACACAATCAGACAAGAAAAAACACACCCTCTCACATGCACACATAATCACACATGTAAAACACACCCTCTCACATGCACACACAAGCACACATGTAAAACACACCCCTCACATGCACAAACAATCACACATGTAAAACACACCATCTCACATGCACACATAATCACACATGTAAAACACACCCTCTCACATGCACACACAATCACATATGCAAAACACCCCTCTCACATGCACACATAATCACACATACAAAACATGCCCTCTCACATGCACACATAATCACACATGCAAAACACATCCTCTCACATGCATACACAATCACATATGCAAAACACACCCTTCACATGAACACACAATCACACATGCAAAACACCCCCCTCACATGAACACACAATCACATATGCAAAACACACCCTCTCACATGCACACATAATCACACATGCAAAACACACCCTCTCACATGCACACATAATCACACATGTAAAACACATCCTCTCACATGCACACACAATCACATATGCAAAACACACCCTCTCACATGAACACACAATCACATATGCAACACACCCCCCTCACATGAACACACAATCAGACATGGAAAACACACCCCTCACATGAACACACAATCAGACATGCAAAACACACCCTCTCACATGCACACACAATCACATATGCAAAACAGACCCCTCGCATGAACTCACAATCAGACATGGAAACACACCCCTCACATGCACACACAATCAGACATGCAAAAGACACCCTCTCACATGCACACACAATCAGACATGCAAAACACACCCTCTCACATGAACACACAATCAGACATGGAAACACACCCCTCACATGAACACACAATCACACATGTAAAACACACCCTCTCACATGCACACATAATCACACATGCAAAACACACCCTCTCACATGCACACACAATCCATATGTAAAACACACCCCTCACATGCACACATAATCACACATACAAAACAGGCCCTCTCACATGCACACACAATCACACATGGAAAACACACTCTCTCACATGCACACACAATCACACAATCATGCAAAACACATCTCGCATGCACATCCATGCAATCACACATGCAAAATCCATGCTCTCACTAAAACACACTTCCTTCCAATCACTCATGCAAAACTCATCCTCTCACATGCACACCCAATCAGACAAAACGGCGCCGACAGTAAGCTATTCAAGTAATAAGATAATCTCAGTAAAAAACATCCCTACAACTATGTTTTGTATAAAAACGTCGTGCGTGTTATTCCATTCAAATCGTTCATAATTACACAGCACACACGGGTCCGCAAACCCTCGTTCCTTAAATATAATGAAGCGTAGACACCTTGAAATGGCATAACTGAAACAAAATACTCCATAATTCACTATCTCATTAAAACAGATCGTTTCAGCTCTCTTGTCAGAGTTTACCGACGTCCGAATAAAATACCCCCATAATGTACACGTGTTTCTGTTGAGCCGCTCAATAATTACTACATATGTACTTATCGTGTATTCGGTGTTTACCTTCGGAGGAGATACCGGTGGCTGTACAATTTGTAATTCACCATGAAAAGGATTGTCCTTTAGGCGTGTCAGACACTTATCGTGGGTTCGAATCCCACATTCGCCCTTATAATGTGACTGGGTTTGCTAGCACCATACCCGTGCTCGTGGGTTTCACCAATGTGGTAAACGCTTTAGACAGTGTTCGAAATAACTGCCTGCCCGACCGTCCGAGACGGGTTGATTTCAACTCGGGCTGCCAGATTTTCAAATCACCCTGCCCGACGGTCAGGTTATATTTCATATGTGAAAATATTCTAAATATTTCCCAATGACAAGCATTAATTCACATGTAAAGATGAATGATAAAATGTAACCAAAAAGAAACCCTGTTAGCTTATCCTGAGAAACATATGATTATAGTGGGCAGGCAGGTTTTGGTCAGGGCTGGCAAGTATTTCAGCTAGCCAGTCCTGTGGTCTGGCTGAAATTTTGGGGAGTTTCATACCCTGCTTTGGACCTGCATCACTTTGGGCTTGCGTCCCACATACATGTAACGCTGACACGCCGTGATATGATTGAAATATTGTTAATCTAACTAGCTCACTCACTACCAAAATGCTGGTATGTTTGTCCATCCATTTATCTTCTGTACACTGTCACCTTGAGGAATAATAATAATAATAATAATAATAATAATAATAATAATAATAATAATAATAATAATAATTAAACATTATGTTTCGTAATTAATGTTTTTGTTTTGGTCCAATGTGTATTATATCTGCTAATTAGCCCCATTTCATACAGGCAGGGGTATTTGGCAATGTTTGAAAGCCGAATCATCACATAGGCCGCTTACGCTTAACCGATGCATGAATAGGATTATGAGGTCCGATGGATTTTGGCACACATAGCAATTAATCCCTTTGTCATTGCGATGCATTATTTACCACGGGTATACCTTCTTTGTGGGGTAACTATACGCCGGTTAGTGTGTGTATGTGCGGGCGTTTCCATGCGAGCTCAGGACATAACGTGATACTGCCGAACGTCAATCCCTGGACGACCAGAGCTGGTTTGTTGTGATCCAGCTTCTCTTGTACACAGTGTACCTACCAGGTGGATATTGCGACTGTAGTGTACCGTTATGGCGACTCCCAGCCTGGGCTGTCTTCTCCTAACAACTCTATGGATATTTAGTTTCATTGGTAAGTAGTGCGGGCTAAAGATCTCTTTACTCAAAACCATTTGATTTACTGGGTGAGGGCAGGGATTATTTTTCGAAAGTGTGTCAGGAAATATTGGAAACAATAATTTTGCTCCAGGTTATATAAATAAAATTAGAGTGTCGTGGACGTGATGGATACGTGAAAGAATTTTTGTAAAGAATACTTTTTTCTGTTATTGTGTGTCATGACATGACCATCATCTATATAATTCTCTAACAAACATCCCCATTGCGGTTGCACTCATTGCGGTAGTCTAACCAGACACTAACCACCAAACAAAACCATTGTCCTTCACTGAGTATGTGGTGTGCACACAGCGTATGTTACGGCGCAGTTTGACCGTCTGACCCTTTTGGGCCCCTTTGAAATTAAGGACGTTACAACATTATTCAATTATAGTTGATCACCATTGTGACGAAAACTAGCACCATTGAACTTACTTGTTTTCCCAAATGACAAATACAAGTAACAAACACGAAAATCGAACTTTTCCTCACGCCCCTTAGAGTTCGACAAAGCGATGTTCATGATCAACGGTTTAAACATGGTTCAGAAAGGGTCCAAGTCGAGGTGCGTGCATCTTCCCGAGGCAAGAGAGTTAACTGACTTTAGAAGTCCAGTTTCCACCCATGCCGAACTAGGCTGGAATTCCTGGGCTCGATCGTAGCGCCACCAGTGGTTATTACGAGTTATGACCCTTCTGTGCCTCTCCTATGGACCAATCCGATTCCACCTTTCGTATCTCTTGCATTTGATTCAAACAAAATGGCGGCGCACAGTCAAGACGATCTGGGCCCAATTGCACAAAGCGATCTTAGCGTTAAGACCATTGTAAGCCTATGGTAAAGTATGGGAGTTAAGATCATCTTAGCGCTTAGATCGTTCTGTGCAAGTGGGCCCAGATCGATATTCAAGATCTATATTGTGATAAAACGAGTCTTACATCGCGAAGTGCATCAAATCACGCGAGCACCTTGATTAAGATCATGAAAAGGTTTGGAAAATATCTGTTGACAACGAGTTGGAGGTGCAAATGCTTTGCAAATCCTGCAATCGACCGAAATCAGAACGACAGCCTACGAACCGTTTTTCGATTTCGTTCCGCGATTTTGATTGGACAATGCATAGACTCGTTAGCCCAGCCAAAATGTAACTCCATAATACCAGCCTAGTTCGGCAAGGGTGGAAACTGGACTTTTATAGTCAGTTAACTCTCTTGCCTCGGGAAGATGAGGTGCGTGTGATAGTGTGTACATTGGCTCTTGCATAAGCAACTTGAGATGATGGTTGTTAAAGGTGGCGTTCGAGAGTCCATCCCGGGCGCGGCTTATTCCCAAAACGAGATTTACATAATCATGCTATTTATATTAATACACACATATTTAATTATAACACTGATGTAGTGTGCAGAAATGGAAACCCATTGTTACGTTATTAGGTCATGTGTTACTTTAGGTCTTCCAGCCTTTGGGTGCCATTCGATGACCTTGAAAGGCTCCGACAGAATTCTGTTCTATGCACCAATGCTCTGTGTACATGCAAATTTGATACATATTTCGTCACTTGACAGCGAAATGAAATGCAGTGTATTTCACAATGCTGTTGTTATGTTGCTATGAATAAGTGCCTTTGGTGGACATACACTTTTTTAACTGAATGTGACTGTGGCATCATGATCCTATCTGAATTTTGTGGACTGAGCGTTTTGTATAATCAAAAGTTAAAAGTGTAAATAAACAAAGCTTGGACGGAACCTTCCATTCCTTTTTCAGTACTACCCGTGAAGATCTGGGGTAGAATAGGTCTTCAGCAACCCATGCTTGCCGTAAAAGGTGACAATGCTTGTTAGAAGAGGCGACTAACAGGATCGGGTGGTCTGGCTCGATGACCTGGTTGATGCATGTCGTATCCCAATTGCATGGATTGATGTCACTCATTGGATTGTCAGGTCCAGACTCAATTTTTTACATGTGGTGGGGGGTGGGTCCCAAACCAACCCCCAAAATCACAAAACTCTATATTATGTAAACCATTATTGATATTTTTACTTTACCGACCAAATCAACATGTTATCATGGTAGAAAATGCGCATACCAAATGTCATCAGATGTGAAAAATGGGTGGCCCCTCCTGGAACCGCTACTGTCTGGCCTCACAGTCTGCCTATGATAGTATAGTCCCTGGGTCTCGATGGTGCTGACTTTTACGTCCCTCAAATTGTGTAATGAATGCGTTTTTTTGCTAGAAAATGTGGAAAACCTAGATCCAATAAACTAAACTGAGGACCCAAAAAAACCATAAGTCGCAGTTGATTTTATCCTAAAAAAGTATGTTTGATTATTAATTCTAAAAATCTTGAGTTAACTATATCATATCTCAAAAAGCGCTTAGTCAGCTCTTTCAATAATTTCAAAAAAATCTTTCGCATAAAACACAACTGGTGATGGGTATCATATCGGCACAAATTAACATTTCAAACACGGCAGTGGAAATGTGATTGCAAATTAATTTCTCTATCAGTCTTCATTAAACAAATTAATTTTTACAGAACATTATCAAGCCACAGGTTACCATTTACAAACTGTTGCAGGAAAGAGTGATTAATGGTTAAATAGAAATAATCAAATTTAAAACAGTTCTTTCAATTTTCAATTACATAAAAAACAAACTCGATGTACTTTCTTTTGTCCCTCAGTTTACCTGTCACATGGTCACCTGCTTGTAACATGGCCGTATCGAGTATCGATCGGTAGTTAGGATAAACACAAGTGTGTTTTAAATAAGATTGAATACTACCGGGAAATTGCAGTGATTGGTCGTTTTGGTTATCACTCGGGAGGAAATAGAACTATATATATGTTTTAGTTTAACCCAATTTTCAGAACACAAACATTTTAGTTCCAGATGTGAGTGCAGGAACCAACTGCGGCTACTACAACTCCTACGGCTACTACCGCTACCGCTACTGCAGCCGTGGCTGCTGCGGCAGCACCTACGCATACGTCTGCTGTTCCGTTTCCCCAACGTAAGTGGATACTCTGTATAACACATCCCTTGATGTAGAGCAATAAGTGAACATGCATTGAGTTGGTGTGATCGTTGTTTTACGCCGCAGTGAGTGAGTGAGTTAGTGAGTTGGGCTCCGCGGGTAGAAACACCGAATAATTGCATTGGAAGTATACAGCGGATATGACCGACATATGCATGGGTTTTACCAAGGCATAAAGCCATGATTTGTAATTTCAGGATCGTGTTGTCTGCTAGCGCCATCACAGGTATTGTGATTGGGGCCTGTTTTTGTGTTGCTTGCATCGCCGCCTTCCTCATCCTGTTGAAGAAAAAACGGTACTGGAGAGGCCGGAGCATCGTCGGTAACCGGAACAACATCGTAGGTGAGTATCGTCGTCGCCGTCAGCCATACATTATTCAACAGCCAAGCATTGTTCTCAGTCACGCATTATTCCGTGCCAAGGATTTTTCAGAATCATGCATTATCCTCAATCATGCATTATTCAGAACCACGCATTACCCGCATTCATGCAATATTCCAAACCCCGCATTATTCTCTGTAATTACCCCGAACCTCTTATTATCCTAAGTCATACATTATTCCTAACCACGCACTATCCTCTGCCATACGTTATCCCGAACCACGCATTATCCTCTGTAATTATCCCGAACCACTCATTATCCTAAGTCATACATTATTCCTAACCACGCACTATCCTCTGCCATACGTTATCCCGAACCACGCATTTTTCTTAGTCATACATTTTTCCGAACTACGCATTATCCTCAATCTTGCATTAATCCGAACTACGCATTATCCTCTCCCATGCATTATCCCAAACCACGCATTCTCCTCATTCATGCATTATTCCTAACCGCGCATTATCATATGTAATTATCCCGAACCACGCATTATGCAAGTCACACATTATTCCGAACTACGCATCATCCCCAATCTTGCATTATTCAGAACCAAGCATTATCCTCTCTCATGCATTATTCCGAACCACGAATTTATTATAACCAGTCATGCGTTTTTCTAAGCCATGCATATCAGAGAAAGTTTGTACTTTTGAACAGAATTAAGGGATATCGGTTTCGACGACGTGTACCACTTTGATTAAACCCAACAAAGTGTGTTCTGTAGTGAGAGACCAAGGGTCATAATCGCGAAGAAACCTACGTGAGCTGACCCTTGTAGTTAAGGGACGAAACTCTTGTAAGAGCTACAACGTGGCCGTGTTGAAAGACAACAGAAGGTTTTAGCGAGTCTCACTATGACCATTGGTCACGAGCATAGTATATTGACAGATGTCAGAAATTACGGGTTTAAGATTATTTTGGGTAGAATCTTGGCAACAATGTTTAAAATCACCAAACACCAATGAGTAGAAAATATATTGTTTTTCCACGAGATATGTGTTTTGTTGCGATTGAGATATAACCGAATAGTAATTATAATTGAAAGTGCATAAAACGAGCTTTTATTTGAGAAAGATATATATAATGTCTATGTGGCACAATATCAGGACAGTTAAAATTTGATCAGGGCAGATGACAAATGTCGGCCATTTTGAAATCCAAGATGACCGCCGTGGTAGAAAGTTCGTGGTAAAACTGGCAACATTGTTTTTTGAAAAGAGATGTTTTTTGATGATTGTAAACCTTGTAGCAAAGTTTCTATTGTTTTCTTACATTAGCCTGTTTAAGGTGCCGCGATTTGTCGTGCAGTGGTGCCTCATATAGGCATGCCACAAATTTATGACCGTGGGTTAGAGTCTCCCCGATTTTGTTTCAGTAACAAAGTGATGAAAGTGTAAGATCTACGCCACTTCATGCTTTTTTCCCACAAAAAGTTGACACGGCTTAATATAGCTGAAATTCTGTTTATAGCACTACCACTAACTCCGTGACTAAATACATCTACATGTATTTAGAACGCATAAACTACTTTTTTGGGGATTCACATTTATCATTTATCAATACATATATTCCCAACAGTAGAGTCAAATACTTACATCATCTGCGACAGTTAACCAGCTCGCCCTTTCTTTTCAGTGAGCAGTTCGACCACGGCCAGCAAGCCTGTCTCCACAGTCCAGGTGGCGCCACACGTCCCACACAACCCTTACCCTGCCTATCCACCCCCACCATACCCCCCACCACCCCAACAACCCCACCCCTCAAACAACCCACCTTACCCCCAACCCCACCCCTCAAACAACCCACCTTACCCCCAACCCCAACAACCCCACCCCTCAAACGACCCAGCTTACCCTCCGCCGCCCCCTGTCTACAGCACAATGTCGACCACTACCCATGTGTATTGAAATTGCTATTGTCAGCATTTAGGAAAACATCAACCCAGAAGTGCTTTTGTTTTATTTGGAGCCTCGAGAAATCAAAAGACAAAAAAGAATGATATCAATGTCGACTTTCCCACTGAATTTATAATAACCATGTCACTTGTTAACTTAGAGTGTGGGGGCGTGATGGCCCAGTCGTCTGAGGCGCCGCAATTCGCTGTGCAGAGTTGCGTCCCTTGGACACGCCAGAAACCTATGATTCGCATCCCGGTTCGCCCCGATTATGTTTCTAGGTTTGTCAGCACCATACCCGTGCTCATGGGTTTTACCGAAGTGGTAAACGTCTGAGACCTGCATCACTTCGGGCTTTCCTCCCACATTAAGCTGACACGCTGTGATATAACTTGAATACTGTTAAAAGTGGCGTTAAACCCAACTCACTCACTAACTTAGAATGTTGATTGATCTCGAAACACCGGCGCCCACGAACCCATCCATGCAGCCATGCCATTCAGTTGTTGTGACAATACTGTCTACACCGAGAAGTCTCAAGCTGTTTGTATATATATACATGTATACCTCTAATCTTCGTCAGTTTGAAAACTCCGAAGTTCTGTCGGCAACGTGTTTGTATAATACTTTCCCCTTATTCGTTCATCCGGATTAAAAATATACATACAGTAAACTACGGTTATAACGAACACGCTTATAACGAACTGACAGATATAACGAACTACTTTTTTGGTCCCGATATATTATTATTATATGTATTATGCTGTATATATGCTTATAACGAACTACGGTTATAACGAACTAAAATTAGTAGTCCCTTTGAGTTCGTTATAACCGTACTTTACTGTATATATTTGTTGCATTTCATATCGTTTTCACAAACAGAAAAACAATGACTTATGTCACACAAAAGGTGTATGGCACGATGGCCAAATTTGACAGTCTTCCCACTCACAAGTGCTGTACATTTGAGATGAAATAATCCTGCTTAAGTTAAGTTCATTCTGGAAGATCAGGAACGATGGAATCTGGGTTTTGTAAAGAATAGTTAAAAATAATATAATGGGTCATTATTTCTGAAAATACGGGAAAATCATGACGTTTGGTGACCTGTACGCTAGTTTGAGGTGAGGTGAAATGGGGTTTAACGTCGCGTCAAAGATTATTGCACTTATATAGCGACGTGCATGTACGTGTGTGTGTGGCTGCTTGTACTAGTCCGGACTGATGCCGATTTATAGTGCTAGCTCACTGAGATACCATTCCTCAGTTTAACATGAATACCCCACTCAGACACAGTATACTGACTCCTAACCGACTAGTCCTTGTTTTAGCCCCTTAATGCCGAGCGCCAGACAGGGTAACAACAAGTACCATCTTTTAAAGTATTTTGGTATGACTCGGACGGGGATCGAACCCCGGACCTTCCGCTCTCCGGAGCTGACGCTCTACCATTAGACAACGGAGGCGGTCCAAGCTAATTTGAGCAGTGGTATCTAGCCACAGTTCCAGTGATGTCCAGATGATTATCACTTTGCTGCAAGTGTTCAAGAGTTTGTCAGTCTGTGTCACAAAGGCTCAATGTATTACTGTCTACATATCCCATTTTGAATAATCTGCTATTAGTAGGTAGGGAGTGATGTAGAATTATATATTGAATCCATTGGAGCTTAGTATCCCCAGTGTACCGAAAGGGTATACTATTATAAACTGACGGCCAAAAGAGACTTTACCACTTTAAAAATGAAACTGCAAAAATAAGGGAACACAAGTTCAAACTAAATCAATGCAAAACACATCGACTAAAAACAATGCATTCCTGACAGTGACGTCAGCGACGAATTCCTTAGGGCATATGGTCAGTCGACAGACAGTGGCTTGGCGATTCTTGGCTCAAGGAATTAGGGCCCTACAGACCTTACAGAGGAACGTTATTGACAGCGTAACATCGTTGGCAGCGACGTGGCTGGCAGAGGGTCGACTTCACTAATGAAAGGCGGTTCTGCGTGTTTAGAACTGATGGGTTACAACGCGTTTGCCACCGAAGGGGAGAACGAACAGCGGCATATTGCGTTCGGGAGGTCGTGCCGTGTGGTGGAGTGGGCGTTATGGTGTGGGGAGGAATTTGTGGGCAGGAGAGGACACTAATGGTCATCAGTAAAGGAAATTTGACAGCTCAGGGTTACATGAAAGACATTCTTCGTCCGATTGTCCTAACATTTCTACAAAAGCTGCCACGTGGTGTCCTCAACCAGCATCACAACGCCAAACCCCATACAGTCCGAATCGTACAGCACTTCCTTGCAGCCAACAACGTCAACGCGTTGCCGTCCTCAGACTTCTCCCCGAGAGAACACCTCTGAGATGCCAAGGATCGTTTTTTTCGACAGCGTCCACATCCTCCAGCCAACCGTCAAGAACTGATCCAGGCGCTCCAAGGAGAATGGCGACTATATCACGTGACGTCATCAGACGACTGACTTTTTCCGTGTGCCGGAGAGTTTTTGCGTGTCTTGTAGCAGGGGTTGGTCATACACGCTATTCATGTGACACGTCATTGAACGTGAGCGAGTTTCGATGGGTATGCATTTTGTCCATTATGTTGAAAGTTTGTTTATGCTGCTCCACCTCAATTCGGTCAACGGTCATACCAATATCGGATGTTGTATCACTGTCAATTTAAAATTGATTTCGTTTTGATTTTGATCTTTTCAATATATTTTACTTCATGCATCTATCGGTTGTGGTTTTTAAACTACAGTGATTTCAAACTATGGTAAAGTTTCTTTAGGCCATCCGTTTTGTTCCTCCAGTCTTAAGATATAATATAATAATTGCTTCTTGCAAAATAGTTTTCCGTTTCGTACAATGTTGATTTTTTCACAATGTTTGTTAATTCTGAAATGTGTTAATTAATCAAATGTAACTGTATGGTATGGTACAGACTCGATAAACGCGAATAATGGTTTTGTTGCAAATAATGTACATAAATAAAAAATAAAAGAATTTAATTGCTTTGCGTTAACTTTGTGTAGCATTTTTGTAATTGAAGAAGTTGCCCGTTTCATTTGTCTATAGAAATAACCACAGCAACAATATAACAATGGTATCTTCGCGAAAAATAAAAGCGACAAAACCATTTCCGTAATCATAATAATTCTCTACCAAAAGCAGAGGCGGTTGTACAATTCCGACCACATCACGAGAATGCGTCCATGAATCACCATCAAATGGTGGTGATACCAGGTGTTCGCGAGAAGGTGAGCGTACCCTGCCCCACCGGTAACACCCGTCACAAACACATGTAAAGGCAAGTCAATTGTTCACCTGAAAAAGGGGAACATATGGTACAAGTCAAAATAGGGAATAGCAACGGACATCATTCTTGTCACTGATGCGTCAGATTTGGAAATGTCATCCACCTTTTGAAAGCTTTAATGAGGCATTGAATGCTGTAACCTTTATCAAACAACTTTTGAGCACGAGTCGTAGAAAGAGCATGTTCGACTGTACCCCAAAAGTTGTGAAATGTAAACACATAAGGCTGGAGCTGTTGGAATATTGCTCGACATAAAGGGAAAGTTGACAACTGGAAAGTTGAAGTCATCCCTCTAGTCATATAGTTTTTTGGAGAGTGCTGTCCGATTTAAGAGAACCAATCTAACTATCAAGTAATATACAGGGTTTCAATAGGACAAAAGGCTCACGCGTGGAACAACCACTAACAACACCTCGTATTTTGAAACATTTGCACATCCAGTGCAGTCTGCATTTTGTTGCAATAAAATAAAAATGATGTCTCGTATGATCTTGAAAATACAAAATTAAGTTTTGAAACATTGTCAGTTTCCAGAGGTGTCAGTGCATTCGGAACACCCCAAAGGAAAGAACAAAATATATATCTCGGATATTAACTATTAAAAGAAGATTCCAATTGAAAAAAGGGACTGCTCTGAGTCTAATTGTTATAGAGATGTGTCATACGAGGGCATGTTTTGCACGTGAGAGAGAGAGAGAGAGAGAGAGAGAGAGAGAGAGAGAGAGAGAGAGAGAGAGATAGCATATTTCCATTGTAATGATCCAATGTTTGTTTTAGAAAGCCTATCCAGTTGATATTCAATCCAATCAAAGAACAATTCACGTTATAGAAAAAAAGACAGTCAGGAGTTGGATTTTCACAGAAATGTTATATGAGAACAGGATCCCAGAGCATATATTTAACAACACATTCACCTCAATTCCATTCTCACCCCCTTCTTAGCTCTAGCATGCAGTCAATACCCATCCCCACACCGATGTTATATGATGATAGTGTAACGTAAAACTAGTGAGTGAGTTGGGTTCAAAGCCGCTTTTAACAGTATTCCAGTTATATCACGGAGTGTCAGCTTAATGTGGGAGCCGTGTCTCAGACGTTTACCACTTCGGTGACGAGCACGGGTATGGTACTGACAAACCTAGAAACATAATCGGATTGAACCGGGGTTCGAACCCGCAATCATGGGTTTCTGGCGTGCCCAAGGGGCGCAACTCTGCACAGAGAATTGCGGCGCCTTAGACGACTGGGCCACTCGTGCCCCCTAAAATGAAACTAAAGCACGGACAATTACAATACATCTATAGTTCGAGGATCGATTATGTCCCTGCGATTTAATCAATGTGTATAAGGTATTTTGGTAAACTCTGTTTGTAATAACAAAACAATACATTTGATTATTTTTTTATTACTTAAATATACATACTGATCGAAATGTATGAATAAAAATCCGTAGCAAAATTGAATAAATTAAAACACATGTACAAATACGCATGCACATGTTACATCGGATTGCACTTGGTTGCTTATAAATACAACAAGAATTGGAGCCTAACGTGACAGTTGTACACATTAGCTAAGAGAGAAACAAAAGTAAATGTTAGTCACATAAGCCATGCAAATATTTGCTCTAAAACTACAAACACGTTAGCATACGAATGTACATATTGTTGACAAGAATTGATCTTTTGCACCAAATATATTTCAATGTTTAGTCACTATACGATGTTTAGCACTTGTGTGTCTTCATTTAGCGGGAGTCTCGTCACACGTGTCGTGGACGATGTTGCAATGACGTCGTTGGAGCTACTGCTGCTTGTGCGCTATGAATGAATACAGCCTCTGTACCTGGCTCTGTTGGGGTGTGAGCACCGAGGGTTGTTGGTGGGGGAGGGAGGGGTGCTGGGGTGGGGCTCCGGGTAGAGACCCCCCTGGGTGCATCATAGATCCTGGGGCACCTTGGGGGTAGGGGAAATATGGGCGTGGCATCATCTGGGCTGCCTGTCCGGGGGCCATCATGGCGTTCGGTGGGAGGAAGGAGTATGGCGAAGCGGCTGACATAAGAGCGGACATTGGCTGAGCGTTGTAGGGATTGACTTGCGGTAGAGGCGTTGACTGCTTGTTCTGTTTGGCTTGGCGTCTCATCCGGGCACGTTTGTTCTGGAACCACACCTACAACAGACCCGAAATATTTCATGAAGAGGGCACAATAATCAGGGGAAGAGATGCATTATTCATATGTTACATTAAATATATTAATATATTAAATATGTATAGCACCTATAATGAAGGAAACGAAGACAACTGCTAAGGAGGAGATTTTGTACTCTTCCTTTCAAACAAGTAGCTGAGCAACGTAGGGAACATCTCAGAGAATAACGTTTCATTGGATTTTATTTTAATGCCATGGTGAATATTTTTGAACACGGAATACATTATTCTGCAATTGTGATCTATGTTCTCTTTCTTTTTTACATCAGTATATGTTTGCATCCGTTACTACGCAAGAGTCATGAGTGAGTGAGTAGTTGGGTTTAACGCCACTTTTAACAGTATTCCAGTTATATCAGGGCGTGTCAGCTTAATGTGGGAGGAGAGCCCGAAGTGATGCAGGTCTTAGACGTTTACTACTTCGGTGAAATCCACAAGCCGGGTATGGTGCTGAAAGACCTAGAAACTGCCATTGACAATCAGGAATTTCAAACCTCGATGATGGGATTCTGGCACGCCTAAGGGACGCAACTCTGCCATCGGCTTAATCGATTGGGCCACTCGTGCCCCATACAACATGAGACAGATTCTGATCCACTTTCAGATAATGCCTATCAAACAATTTCAGATAGATGTTTTAGATATTATTTATTTGTTTGTTTGTTGTTTGAGGTCGCACTCGGCAATATTCCAGCTCTATGACGGCGGTCTGTAAATAAGTCTGGGCCAGACACTCCAGTAATTGATATCATGAGCACTGATCTAGGCAATTTGGATACGATGACATGCATCAACCAAGTCAGCGGTCCTGACCACCCGATCCCGTTAGTCGCCTCTTACGACAATCATAGTCGCCTTTTACAGCAAGCATGGCTGCTGAAGACCTATCATCGACCTGGATCTTCACGGGTCTAGATATACTCCAAGTTTCAGAGACAACACGTACCCTCAGCCTCTGGTCAGGGATATCCAGTTCTCTGGCCAGCCTGTCTATGGTATCACATTCCGGGTACGGGTTTTCCATGTACACCCTCTCCAGCGCCCGGAGCTGACCGGGGGTGTAGCTGGTGCGGGACTTCTTCTTGTAGGACCCCATGTCGGGGTCGGGGTTGGGTCTCTTGCCCCTGGTGGCGCCTGTAGACGACGAGGATGACGCCGTCGAGGAGATGGAGGTGTCACAGATGGAACTGGCAGACGAACACCTGGATCTCATCAAGGAGGTGTCGCTCAGGCTGGAGTTGGAGTCCTCCATACAGGGTAGGTGTGATGCGGTGAGCTCAGGACTACTTCTGGATTCGATGGAAGAAGATGGCGAGACACTACTGGAGTTGACGTCGATAGCAGAGTCATCTGAAAGGAGACAACGATAAATATATAGCAGTGTTACCCATGTATTATTCTCGAGTTCACAGCACGACATATGTATTCTCTCTCGAGAGATCGTTTGCTAAATGTATATTGAAAACATATCCCTTACAGAAACGAACACCTTTGACGTTTGGTGATGGAAAAGGTTAGCAGAACCAAATGTCCTTATAGCCGAGCTAAATGCTGATAGAGTGTTACAATATGTGACCTGCCACGTGTTACTTCATACCCTGACGGGCTGGAACGTTGCTCGTTCTGCCAACATCTGATTTGCCAAGCCAGGACTCAATTATTTACAGGTATCTGTGATATAGCTGATACTGTCAACTGTATCTGTACATCCGAGGGGAATATCAAAATATGTTCTACTTCCGTAATTGATTTTTTTAATAGATAATTCATTGAACATACCTTTCCCCGTACATGTTGGACTCGGGTTTGAATCTGGGGATGATGAGAAGGGGGGTAACTGCGTGTTGACGCCTGACATCTGCTGGGTAAAGAAACTGGGTGACATGAAAATGTTGTTGGAAAAGATGGCTGGGTTGACAGAAGCATCCTGCTTCTCTGGTGTTGGTTGAGCTGGAACGCTGGACGCCAAACTCGCGGTTAGGGCATCTGATGTCTTTGATTGGTCGTGGAGCCTGGACACCATGTGCTGGTGTTGGAGGCTCGGCTGGCTGTCCATGGACCTCGGGAACTCACTCAGAAAGTAACTCAAAGCATCAGACTGGCTCGGGAGATGCGGTTCTGGTTTCACTGTCTGGGCGGGTGACTCCTCTTGTGGAGTCTGCTTATCGTTTGATTCAGACGGGATGTGTTCTTCAGTCGAGACTGGTGGCACTTGCGGCTTTGGATCTGGTGCATATCCGGACCCCAGGCCTGCGTTATATGGATGCTGGAAGGGCTGGCTGTAGGCTGTACTGTTGACCCAGGGTAGGGAGCCTGGTGGAAACATAGGCGGGTATCCGTTGGATAGTCTCACTGGCTTGGGGTGTGCCAAACCACTTGAAGCGATCTTGGCAGAAGAGACGTGTTGTTCCCAGAAGTTAACTGGGTTGGTAGAAGGAGCTTGGTTGCCAAGGGAACTATAAGGAGTATTTCCTGAACTTGAATCAGATGGAGTGTTATCGGAAACAGACTGTCGGTCGTCATCACTGGAGTCGGACTCGGATGAGTGGCTACTGGGTGGTTGAGGAGTGTTGGGCTCAGAAAGCGAGTCCGCGGACTCTCCATCGTGTAGCAGCAGACGTGTAGAGTGAGTTTGTTGAACTGTCTGGTGGACCTGAGGCTGTGGAACAGCCTGGCCGTAAATGATGGTAGCGCTGTGGTCAGCCGAGGTCAAGCCAGGGTCGTGTCCGTCTTGGTCTGTCCTCTGCGGCATCCCAGATAGGGTGCTATTGATCAGATTGTTCAGCTGCATCTGGAGGCTGGTCTGGCTGGTATTGTCTTCGCTGGCCGGAGGAGGGCTTGACTCGGGGGCCTTGTCTTCATAATGTGTCTGGCTGTCGTCTTTCGGCTCTATACGTTGTGTTGACGGACGGGCTATGATTGGTTGCACCAGATAGTTGGAGTTACGGAGCCTTGATGGCAGCTGGGGGTGATGTTGAGCCAGCAGAGGACTGATGAGGTGACTGGGCTGGGGAACTCGAGTAGGCTGCGGTGCTCTATGGTGTGATACTGACACAGGCTGGGCTTGAGACAGCTGAACAGAATGCACCTCAGACTGGTGTGCAGGCTGGACTTGGGGCTCGGGATTGGACTTGGTCTGGCACTGGATATCTGGTTTGGGCTGACCGTGTACACCGGGCTGAGGTTGAACCTGGAACGTATTCCAGGGCTGGATGGAGTGGTGAATCTGAGTCTGAGTGGGAAATGGCTGTATTTGTGGCTGGTTGGAAGTCTGTGGTAGAGGACTGGGTTGACACTGGGACTCTGGCTGTTGCTCTGGTTCTGCCAAACCTTGATCCCGAGGATGTTCGGACGATTGGGGCTGTTGAGTCACGACCTGTCCGCTTGACTGAAGGTGGGACCAATGTTGTCTGAAGTTGGCGTAATCTGCTGCACTGAACGTAAAGGACTGTCCAGGGTTGCCTAGCAATGTATCCTGCATACTTCTCTGAGTATCCGTGTGAAAAGGTCCTGTCACGGGCGTGTATGACATACTGGTGACAGGCGTAGCAGACAGATAGTCGCTGTAGCAGGTTGTGGGGGCGACGTCTTTAACAATGTCAGACATCGTGCTGATTTGGTTGATTGTCTTCTCGTTCAGATTTAGGTGGTCGGTGTTCTGGGTCCAAATCGTCTGCTCGGTCTCTGCTCTGGGAATGCCCTGTTCAATGTCGTCTACTTTGTCGCTCAGGAAGGCAAGCCATGGCAGGAGGTCGGAGCTGTTGGAGTTGCTGAAGTGTGGAGCTAGTAACGCTGCAGCGCTGGACGGAGGCTGAAACAGATGAGTTACAGATACGTATAAATCGGCCGAATATGTAGCGAACATTTTTTTAATATTGCAATGGTCGTGTGTATTGTGAGACGCGGTTTCGAGAGACGTGATTCATTTCTTGATCATGCAGGATGCAAAACTTGTATGAATCTGATGATACCTGATGAAGTGCTGAAGCATCTTTGGCACGTACATTTTCAGATATTTCAGTGGGTCTCTACACATTTTTATACCCAGCAGTGTAAACCCCCAGGAAATGAAATTTTGAAAAGAAATTACAGATTTCACGTACGTAGCTTACAAATATTTCTGTTCTTGGACAAAGTGATATTATTTTGTATTTCTTGGAAAGAAATATATTTTTCAACGAAACATTAAGAGTTGTCTAATTATGAAATTCCTGACCAGATTTCTAACAGATATTATTGACGTCTCAGTTATATTGTTAATGACTTGGAAATATATACATAAGTATACCCGTCTGATTTATCGAAAACGTATAAGTTTGATGATCATACTCGAATCAGAGAGACAAACCTGCTATTCAAGTCTACAGTGACACCTAAGCGGATCGTTGGCAGTTAATACATTAGTTTAAAAAGAAATATAAGCAAATAAATATGTAAGTTTAAAACTAGACATGTACCACATGCAATGGGGACAAATATTTAGCATGAAAGAATGAGGTCAGTATTTCCTGCAATTCTGTGTCAAATAGTATCATTTTAGTAAAACCTTTAATGGTTGCAAATAACATCAGAGCATCTGTAATTTAAAATGACCTTAAAGAAATTCACAGAAAAGTCAAAGCCAGCTAAAACGTTAACAGGTGAGCTAATCTCAATAACTGAAGCTCTGAAGTTGGTGATTTAGTTTTCGTGATACAGGTTCACAAGCGCATGCAGACAGCATGCGGCTCGGGTGAGGGGTGGTGTCAAAAGAAGAATGTGATTTTTTGACACGTTTGCTATGGCGGACAATGCTACTCTGATATGAGTTCAAACTACCCCCGGTCAAGTTCAAACACTGCCGTCATTCATTAACTATTCTACAACACACGACTGCACGCTGTAGTGATTCAACTAACGGACGAATCCTCAACATCCAATTATTCAACCCGTCTTACCTGGCAGGTGTTGACACGCGTCGCTGTGATGAGATTGAAACTATAGTCTTTATCTGATAATAATGATTATTGGCCAGAAACCAATGGGACTAACTCGATGGTCATATCTTCAATTCCAAATTAGTCAAATCTATTGAAAATATGTTTACACTGTCAATGCACATATTACATGAATAGACACTGAAAATAATGTTCTTACTTTTTCTGACACAAATAATTGACATCCATTTCCAACCTCCAAGGGAGATAACTCTGGTAAAATCATATTACGCCACTTATCATGAATAATATGGCACATATATTTTATGATATTAATATGATATTAAACAATAACTATTGACGAATAATGTCAAATAAACAATGGAAGTTAACATATTTCATATATACCCTAAATATCCAGCAAAGGTATGATGTTAAAATTCAGATCTCCACCTGGGGTAAATCCAAGTGTATTACCCCCGAATAAGGTCAATAGTATTTACATTACGCGCTATAACCCATATTTCACATCATCCAATGAAAACCCAGATGACAACTTACCTCATTGTATGCTTCCATTTCGTTGGTCAGGATATTTCAGCTTAATCAAGTGACTTATTTTCGATGTAGGAGAAATCACAAGTTGAATGCTTGCAGTGAACTCATCTCAGATATTTATACCCCAGCCATCTGTGATGACATTCCGGAGACTTCTCAATCATGCCACTCAGCAGATTAGTAAAAACATGTGATAGAGATGATTAGAGTCTTGCTGTTTTTGATTGGTGTTTTGCGAATTGCATTACGTGTGTTGTTTTAAGCGCCACGTCAGTGATTAGTTTATTGTTTACCACCGTCTCAATATCACTGTACACGCTTTCGTGAGTTAATCTTGTCAGTCGGGATTTGTTTGTGTGAGTAAGTGGATGATTGAATCTACAGTTAACATTGTAGCTAGCGAATGTACATGTCATTTTCTATAAGTTGACAAGCTACCACTCAATGCATTTTTTATATTAACTCAAAATATTCGTTTTCGTTTTTATCCTTGTATCTATTTTGAGTTTGGCAATTTTCATCGTCATTAACGTCATGAATGCTTTTTGTATTTTTTTCCGTTTACTTTTTATTGTGTGTTTTATTATGTAGTTTTTATTACTGTCGTCACTAATGGTAGAGTATTGTGGACGATGATCTTGTCAGTGTGCGAACAAAACAACACGTCACAGTGAAATGAACACGATACCCCGATAGATTCTGCACGTGCAGCATGCTTTGATCGGGCTGATCGTGTGAGTGTCAGGGGAGATTATTATAACAAAGAAGATGTTTAGGTGCAGATATTCATGGAAATGAAAAAAACCTGTTTTGCCGGATTTAATAATCGACACAAAGCATTACGTAGATGTAAATACGAAATAAGAAAACAACTGGAAAAGTACTAGTCTGGATTTGCTAGTTTTATCTCAGTGCTCAATACAAAATGTACTTTACAGGAGGTAATTTGTAGGCACAAATTGACATGGCAGAAACAGGCTATAGGCATTATGCAAATTGGCCTAGAAAAAAGTATCAACACCAACAACAATAAAAATAACAGCTATGTTTATGTACATGTACATAATAATAATGACATGTAAGTTGTTGTTTGAGAAGGGAATATGTTACTTTTACGTTCTGATATTTTGACGATGATTCACTATCCCTAAAAGCCACTCACAAATCACTAACCACTGACAAATCACATGCACGTGGGTTTCAAGCACCTGTTTTCACCTGTCGTCAAGGTGTCATGGGCATTCACCTTGATCTACTAACACCTGGTTATGTTCAGTTTCACAATAGTCTGTTTTGTTCATATTTTTACACACTTTTACGTGTAAAAAGACATAAAAACCTTTGAAATGCTGTATTTGTGCCAAGGCCCAATTAGTACTAATTGAGCTGTTTGAATATTTATATATTTTGTATATTAACTGTATTTATTTAAAATCTGAGATCGAAAAAACAGGGTTTTTTCATTTCCGTGAGTACTTCAGTAATCCCACAAACGGTTATACTGATATCATACCAAAGGGTCTAGACGAAATTTGATTTTTTATTGAAAAAAAATATGTACTGTTTATTCAATCACGAATAGATACAAAATAAACAGATATGACTACATAGTGTCACACGCACAATATGTACGATATAAAATCGATGCACATAAGACAAAAGGTTTATGGGGTGCGTCCAGCCAGACATTGGCTTATGAGACACTATATACAATATAAACAAAATATATACATAATATATACAATGTGGGAGGTGGGAAATTAAGCTACGAAATAAGAAGACTCACAGGAAACAATAACAAACTCATCGATTCAACAACGAAAGAAAAATAAAGGATAGATTGAGAGAGAGGTAATTTGATAATCTTGGCGATGATTGTCGTCTCTTAACATTTAAAAATGCGTTGCGGCAAGCAATTTTTATAAAACGTTTGAATTCATTAAATAATTAAATTTCTCTTCTTCGCATATCACATTATAATTTCGGTTGTTTTCTTCAGCTGCACAATATAAATCATGCCGTAAATCTTCATAAAAACTGCATTGTAGTTAAAAATGACATTCATCTTCCACCAAATCACAATTGCAATATTTACATAACCTCTCCGATAGTGGTATAGGAGGCTTGGGATATCTGCCTGTCTCAACAAACAATGGTAAAATTCCACATCTAAACTTGGCTAAAATACGGCGGTGGTCTCTAAAGAAAATGTTTTTTTACATAGAAATCAACTGAAGGTGTACATATTTTCTGTAGGTACGTAACTTATTTCCATTCACATTACCCGTATCATTCCGAAGCGAAGTGTGCCAATTAACTGCGTCACCTTGAGATCAAACGTTTTTCATATACCTAACATAGCGTTTAACACCCCATCTGATTTCCAGTGAGTACAATTACTAGTATATTGGTTCAAAAGGTTCATTATTTTACTATCCCTAGATGTGGTAAAACATCCAGACCATCGGTGAATATTAGACAGACGCTTTTGCTACATAGATTTAAGTCTGAAAAGATATCTGAAACATTCTATTTTCTGAGTAACCAAAACTGAGCACCAGTCCATATCCCCTCTACTTGCAAGAACAGGAGCAGATTTAGTTAAACCAAGAAACATCCTGGTAGGCTTATGGTGCACAACCTCAACTTCTTTAACACCATGTAAGCCTCATATACTGGCACCATACAACAAAACTGGTTCAACCAGCGATTTATACAACTTCGTAAAAACATCATATGACATTCCACCAGCATAAATGTTCTTAGTGTATAGAGCAGATAACGCTCTACTAGCGGATTTTCAAAGCTCTTGTGCATGTCTAAATATTCGCTTAAACACAATCCTAGATAACGGTAAGCGCTATCATAAGAAATGTGAGTATTGCCACACGAAAACTGATAACAAGATCTAACAAAGGATTTCTTCCGAAAATGGACAATTTTGGTTTTGTCATCATTAATGCTAATACGCCATTTTAAACACCAAGTACTTGCAATATCTAACATATTTTGGAGATATGTTTCATTTGGTGCTAACAACGCAATATCATCAGCGTATAACAAAATGGATAACATTTCGTTATCCAATGGTACACCTCATTTGAGATTCGTTATCTCCGTGGCTAGATTATTTATATAATAGAAAATAGAGTTGGTGACAATTTACAACCTTGCTTAACACCCTTGGAAACATTACAAGAGCCTGTTATATAATCATTCACGCGTACTGCACACCTCACATCTTGATATAGGGATTGAACAGCTTTCAACATTATGTGTCTATGTCTGTCAGCACCATAACCGGGCTCGTGGGTGTCACTAAAGTGGCAGGGGCCACGGAAGTTTCGCTGTGCAGAGTTGCGTCCCTTGGACACACCAGAAACCTATGATTGTGGGTTCGAATCCCGGTTCGCCCCGATCATGTTTCTAGGTTTGTCAGCACCATACCCGTGCTCGTGAGTTGCACCGAAGTGGTTAACGTCTGAGACCTGCATCACTTTGGGCTTTCCTCCCTGATTAAACTGACACGCCTTGATAAAACTGGAATACCGTTAAAAGCGGCTTTACGACCAACTCACTCAATCACTAAAGTGGTAAACGTCTGACTTTCCTCCCACATTAAGCTGACAAGCCTTGATATAACTGGAATACCGTTAAAAGCGGCTTTACACCCAACTCACTCACTCACTAAAGTGGTAAACGTCTGACTTTCCTCCCACATTAAGCTGACAAGCCTTGATATAACTGGAATACCGTTAAAAGCGGCTTTAAACCCAACTCACTCACTCACTAAAGTGGTAAACGTCTGACTTTCCTCCCACATCAAGCTGACAGGCTGTGATATAATAGGAATTCTGTTCAAAGCGGCGTTACATCTAACTCACTCACTGTTTATTTTATACTAGATAAGGAAAATTGTACCTTTATTTGTTTGTGTTCAATTGTAAATAGACCGCCTCCGTGGTCTAGTGGTAGAGCGTCAGCGGAGAGCGGAAGAGCGGAAGGTCCGGGATTCGATCCCCGGCCGCGTCATACCGAAGGATACCAAAAGATGGTTTTTGTTGTTACCCTGCCTGGCGCTCGGCATTAAAGGGCTAAAACAAGGACTGGTTGGCTCGGAGTCAGTATACTGTGTCTGAGTGGGGTATTAAAAACAACCCAAATACAATAAATACATAATGTCCACACATTCGCACACGCTCACACAATCTGAAGGTCTAACCACACGGTCACACTGACAGTGGATTATTTAAGGACGCTTCATTGTTACTGTTCTCAAAGTCACAGAAATTCTGTGTCTGTTTTACGTCTTATTATTATCTCCTTTTTCTTAGGTCTTTTTTTTAGTTATTTCTTTGAGCAATGCCCCTTTCTATTCTTAAGATGTCTGTTAATCTCAGTACACAATGTGTGACAAATATTCTCTTTTTCTTTGAGCTGGACACGTGGGGATACCAGGTATAGAATATTGTCCCCAACAACCTGTGCTTGTCGCAAGAGGCGACTGAATGGATCCGGTGACTTGGTTGATTAGTGGCATCGTAATCTGACATTGTGTACCGTTGATCAGAATATCTGGTTTGTGTGGTCTAGGCTCGACTATTTACAGGCCGCCCGCGTATAACTGGAATATTACCGAGTGCGGCGTTAAACAAAGTGAACACATATACTGTAGACGTGGAACATCGTTTGGTCATTCACTCACTTACTCACATGTAAACAAAAGCTATCTAAAAAACCCAATAAAGTCATTCTAAGAAGGTCAAAATAGGAAGGTAATCTACCCTTTTACTTGAATAAAACGACACACATTTCTTTATTTTGCCTGCAATACGTTTAGGACAAGTCTCCAAATAAAGCTCAACAAGAAAAACACAATCGCGCAATACACAAGTCATAATCAGTAATAATTGTGACAACATTTCCCCTTTTATTATATCCTATAGTGAGTGAGAGTGGTTTTACGTCGCTTTTAGCAATATTCCAGCAATATCACGGCGGGGAACACCAGAAATGGGCTTCACACATTGTACCAGTGTCGGGAATCGAACCCGGGTCTTCGGCGTGACGAGCGAACGCTTTAACCACTAGGCTACCCGACCGCCCCTATTATAACCTATAAGTTTGTACAGTATGGAAAACACAATCCTTATATATCTGTTATTGAATTCTTGTCATGTCTCAACAAGTCATATATAATAATATCATGTTTACAATGTACGTGTCCCAAGAGAGTGAGTGAGTGAGTTTTGGTTTAATTGTTCAGGCTTACTCCAGATGAGGCAAGTCCAAAGTGATGCATGTTGTAGAAGTTTGCCACTTTGGTGAGATCCACGGTGCCGGCATTCCAAGGGTCATAATCAGGACGAACCTGGGATTTGAACCCCACGCCATAGGATCTTGACACGTCTAAATGACGCAAGTGTGATTGTCTCGTTTCTCTTAGTTCTATACAGCCAACATACATGTAGCGCCAGACGAACTCACGACACGCCCGTAAACAAGTCAACGTAGAACACTCAATTTCATATTACCAATTGAATACCAACGTCTCCAAGTGTATACCGTACTTTCTCTAAAAGATGTATGAGTGAGTAGGTGAGATAGGTTTAACGCCACTTTTAACAGCATTCCAGTTATATCACGGCGTGTCAGCTCAATGCGGGAGGAAAGCCCCAAGTGATGCAGGTCTTGAACGTTTACCACTTCGGTGCAATCCACGAGCACGGGTATGATGCTGACAAACCCAGAAACATAATCGGGAATAGATGTATGACCAACACCGGGGCATAGCGGCCGATTCGGTCGTGAATGTATAAATCATGAATTCTTCTCCGGTAAATTGATTAATTATCTCCATTTCTCACGGTTCGCGAAGAAATAGAGACCGGGTTTAGTTTAGTTTGTTGTTTCACGCCGCAGTCAGCAATATTCCAGCTGTATGACAGCTGTCTGTACATAATTTAGTCTGGACCAGACAATCCAGTGATTGACATGATGAACATCGATCTACGCATTTGTGATACGATGACATGCATCAACCAAGACCGCGAGCCTGACCACCCGATCTCGTTAGTCGCCTCTTACGTACGACAAGCATGGGTTGCTGAAGACCAATTCTTACCTGGATCTTCACGGCCCGGGTCTAGTGAAACAGTAAATTAATGCCCCCGCCATTGTCACGGGCCCTGGTGAAATAGAGGCCGGAACCAGTAGAACAGAAAATCAATCGCCCCTATTGTTCACGGGCTGTCGAGCAATGGGGACCAGGTCTATTAAAAGACGCCGCATCGTCTGGGCGTCGTTTGGAGGAAATCCGGTAAGAGCGCGATAGCACACATTCTTTACCTCGTAAAACATATAGGTAGTCTTTCCCTGGTAAAGACGCAATAGATTACAGGATTAATTGTACCAAACCCTGCACTTAAGATCTGTATTTGAACGGTTGATAAGAACAACCAATCAGTACTATCTGTGCCATTCACTCAGCTTGGACCCGGAAGTACCGCAACAAAGAACGTGCGTACTGTGCGTGGAATAAGAGCAGAGAAACTCACTACCCCATTATACCATGGGGTCGGACTACAAGATCATCAGGGAGCTGGGGAAGGGGGCGTTTGGAACAGTTTACCTCATCAAACACAAAACAGCACAGGAATGGGTAATGTACAGTTTATTTGCCTTCTGTTTTGTGATCGTGTTTGTTGATACAGTGCCAAGCTGTAACACAGCGCCTTGTGGTGTAAGCTTGTAACATGGAGGGTTTGACACCTGTCGATGGATTGCATATGAATACATACACTACGCCAAGTTAAAACTTGTTTCGGAAATTCACGTGTCATTGTTGCAATTTGTTTTCTTTAGAACGCAAAGATCTTCATGATGTCACTGAATATTTCACGGATGAATATTGCCCACAACACATATGCCGGCAATGCTTTAAATCTTGCATGGTTTATAGTTAGTGCTTGTGTTTACGTGCCGTCTACCCGTCCCTCTCCGTTACCGTACGCACGACAACGCATGGCAGTTATGTGCTGTTTCGAATGTTCAATGACTTCGAATCGGGGTAACGACTTACAAGACGTGTCTCTATGGTAATGGCGTCTTCCCTGATGTTTTGGCAAAGAACATATACCCTCGATTATCTGATTGCATGGGTTATTTGACCGGAAATACTTTGATAAACCTGGAAATTGCATTGTGTAAGATTTGTTTGTTTGTTGTTTAACGCCGCATCAGCAATATTCCGGCTATATGACGGCGGTCTGTAAATAATCGAGTCTGGACCAGACAATCCAGTGATCATGAGCATCGATCCATGCTATTGGGATCGATGACATGCATCAACCAAGTCAGCGAGCCTGACCACCCGATCCGGTTAGTCGCCTCTTACGACAAGCATCGTCGCCAAGCATGGGTTGCTGAAGACCTATTCTACCCCGGATCTTCACGGGTCGCATTGTGTAAGGTATCAAGGCTGGTCTCTGACTTTCCGTACTGACAACCTCTTGCGGGTGTGGGGCGGTGGTTTTAGCGTTCGCTCGTCACGCCAAAGACCCGTGAAGGCCATTTCTGGTGTCCCCCGCCGTGATATTGCTGGAATATTGCTAAATGCGGCGTAAACCACACTCTCTCACTCACTCTTGCCGGTGTTGTGGTCGGGATCAAACCTGCCAAGAAGGAGCGGATACCTTCGTCAAGAGAGAACGTGCTACCCCGTCTATTTTCCATTTTTCAGCCGAGGTCTAGACGTTGTAATTAGAACCTTGCGTGACACGAAGACACGTGTCATTGTGCAGGAAATGAAACATACATCATACATAACATTTGGGTTAGCAGACAATCAGGTGTTTGGATTACTCGGATCAAACTTACTAGACCCTTTTAACAAGTCGTCGAACGTTTGTGCTTTAAACTGACAAATTCATCTTACATGCGAACCACTTTGAGACCTGGCTGAATGTTCGAAATATGAAAGAAAAATGCCAGGCTGCCATCAGGACACAGACTTTAGAAGCTGCAGGCCGTGACTAAACTCTTCAGGCCCTCATTAAAATAATTGCAGCTTATTGTGAAAGATAAATCAAGACGTAACTTTAGTGTAGGCCATAAGGACCCATACACATTTGAAACTACGGGCCCGATACGAATTCTACCTTTTACGGGCCTACGGGTCGACCCTTATTTCGAACACTGGTTACATGTGTCATTTACAATAAGCTCGACCGCCTCCGTGGTCTAGTGGTAGAGCGTCCGCCCGGAGAGCGGAAGGTCCGGGGTTTGATCCCCGCCCGCGTCATACCAAAAGACGTTAAAAGATGGTACTTGTTGTTACCCTGTCTGGCGCTCGATATAAAGGGGCTAAAACAAGGACTGGTCGGCTCGGAGTCAGTATACTGTGTCTGAGTGGGGTGTTCATGTTAAACTGCGGCATGGTATCTCAGTGGGCTAGCACTATAAATCGGCATCAGTCCGGACTAGTACAAGCAGCCACACACAAACACACACATACATGCACGTCGCTATGGACGCAACGTTAAACCCAATTTCATTTTATGACAAAACCTATGTATATTAAATGGTTCAAATTTCTAACACCTTCACAATCCCAGCCTTTCCTGTTATAATCAGTGAATCTAATTCTATCAAAATACTTTAACTACTTTCTGTACACCGTTGTTCCCGGATATCAATTCAATGCGTGTGTTACAATAACTAATATTTAAACTGTTGGTGTTCATACGGGTATGTTCATTGTCGTCAATACCCGTTAAGATCCGAGTTAGAATAGGTTTTCAGCAACCCATGCTTGCCGTGAAAGGCGACTATGCTTGTAGTAAGAGGCGACTAACGGGATCGGGTGGTCAGGCTCGCTGACTTGGTTGATGCATGCCAGAAATGTGGGAACCTCAGTTGACTTAGGTCACTCAATATGTAGTAATCAAAGGCACGCTGTAATAGTCTGTCTATGTCACGACTGTCTGTTAACCGGATCTGGGTCAGGTGAACAGCACGACACACTACTATGTATACGTTGAACACCGCTTTGATTTATTGCTTCAGTTTTAGCACGGCACAGCATTATGCTTTAATGCGTCGAAAAGACGTCAACCACTTTTTGTCTGGAGATAAGATATGTTTTCGGCTATACCCGATATAAGTTTAACTGAAACAAGATTACACTCTAAAACAGTATGAGGTATACTTTTTTCAAGAATTTTCAACTCAATATCAAACGGTCGGTCCCTAATTCAGTCCTTATTCCCCACACCGCCAGTTCGCCCTGAAAACTGTGGATTTGTCAAATGCCAACTCCGAAGAGAGAGCCAGTGCCGAGAAGGAGGCCAATCTGATGCGAGAGTTGGACCATGATCACGTGGTGCGTTACGTGGCCTCGACCTTCAACGGGTCCACCCTCTTCATCTTCACGGAGTACTGCGAGGGCGGGGATCTGTCCCACTTCCTTGAAGACTCTAGCGGGAAACTGCCGGAAGACTTGATCGTGTGTTGGGTGTATCAGACGGCTTTAGCATTAGAGGTAAGTGAATGAGTATGCTTTTACGCCGTCTTTGTCAATATTCAAGCCATGCCACAAGAGCAAGATGTGGGGAATCTAACCCAGGCCTTCGGCATGACAAACAGGGGCTTTAATCACCTTGGCACCCCACCGCCCTAGCATGGGAGGTAATATACCTTGGATGTGGTGAATCTTATAATGACATCTTAGTTTGGTCAGAGGAGTGAGTGAGTTAAAATTTAACGTCGCATCGGCATTATTTCAGCCATATAGCGACCAGAGGAGAGGGGTGAGAATGAGTTGGGTTTAACAGCGCTTTAATTTCAGTTCTATCACAACGTGTCAGCTTATTGACTTTTACTATTTCCACACGTTTCACGACAAGAGAATCTTGTCCGGCTAAGGGACGCAACGCCTTCAGGCCTAGGTCGTATGTTATATTTTCGGACAGATCGTATTGGCAGATCGTTAATTGGTAATATGAAACCATCAGAAATCTCTTTTCTGAAATGATCAGGTCAACAGCTTATATATCCCATTTTCATGTCAATTCACAATTCACGGGCAAAACCATAAACTATCAACCAGTCATTAACACAATCGTCCTCTTTGAATGTTGAATAAGACATAAGACATCCTCGATTATAATACCCTGGATAATCGAGGATGAGCATAAAAAAGTATGACGCTTTTTTGTGAAAACATACAAGCACCACCTCTCTGGCACTGGTCACTATATGGCTAAAATAATACCGATGCGACGTTAAATTTAAATTATTTTTTTTTTTAACCCATTCTCTGTCACTGATGCGTTGTTTTGATAGGCGATAGAATTCACTGTTTACAATTCCCTACCGAAGCTAGAGAATCCGAGAGAACCTGCAGTATCATGGCATCCCCTTATAATTAAATTTTCGTTGTGTTCATTGAAATTCCTGTGATCTGAATTGCTGAATTGGTCACGTGTTATTGCATTTATTTCCCAATGAATGTAAGAAATTAAGCCACGCCCACCGAGGCACACTACTTTTATTAATTCGGAATGTCGGGGAATCCCAATATTGCAGTCGAGGGAATTCCCTTTCTACTCACGTTTATCGTCATGCACAGGACATTTGGCGACTTTCATGCATGTTCATTGTCAAAACATACCTTTGAAACCGAAGGCCGAGAACGAATGAAACCGCAAACGTGCAGGCTCGCTGCCCTGTTTTTTTTCTGCTCGCCTCGGTTCAAATTTCATGTCTTCGGGTTTCATTTCTAACAAGCATTTTTCCAACTGTGTTTTACCGTAATCAGGGAAGTAATGTTTGAATCTGGCGGTAACTTACTATGTAATTTGAAACAGCCGCCTTTTCCCGGACATATTTCTTCCGGTTCATTACAGTTTGACTGTTGCAGTTCTTTTCGCCTCTTTGTCTTAATTAACAGGTCCAATGAACATTGTTTTGATCCTGCTCTCCGTTGATTGGCTACTGACTGTGTAGGCGTGTCAAGTGATGTGCATAAATTAAACGATCACCTGATTCATGTCACGCCACAGTATGTATTCCTACACCTGGAATGTTTATCAATCTCATCATTTTTGTCTGTTTTGATATATACAACTGTTTTTGGTTAAACTATTGTAGATAAAACATGTTTTTTGTTTTTGAATTTAATTATAAGCATTGACTGTGTATTTGTTTCGGTTCATTGAGGTATGAATCGAAAAACCAATGTGCAAACTTTTGTAAGAATACGCTACGCGGATTCATACAGTTTGCACATTGGTTTTTCGATTCATACCTCAATGAACCGAAACAAATACACAGTCAATCCTTCAATGTTGCAGTATCTGCATCGGATGGACATCCTGCACAGGGACCTGAAACCCCAGAACATCTACCTGACTGGGGAGGGGGACGTTAAACTGGGGGACCTTGGTATTGCAAGGTATGAATACTTGGGACACTCATCTTGTCCAGAAACAATTAGGAGATAAACCTACTGTGTTTTGAAATTTGATGTAGTCCCACTGTAGTGTACACATAGATACCTCTTATTTTAATTTGGAACCGAGCGCTTTTTAAAAAGTCGTATGTGCAATAGTGCAAATATCACCCCATTGTATTGTCTACGTCATGGTCTTCGAATATTATTGTGACAAAAGGTGAGAATGATGTCACACTAGAAACCACGTCATAACTGAAGATTGTTGACGTCATTCGACAATTGTGGTTTACTATCCGAATTAAGATTATAATGGATGATATAGATGATTAACCACTGTGTTCGGTTGTTACCGAAAAATCTACACACGAGTGATTAATCTATCACGATTAGAACGAGGCTTTTTTTTCTCCCATAACAATACGCCATAAAAAGTCGAGCTCGTAGTTGAAGATTTCCCGTGTTTAGTAACCACTCGGGATTTCCCCTAGCCTCGTTTTCGAATATGCTCAGTAAGACAACTGCACCATAAACAGGTAAAAAGGATCTAGCGAAGACAACTCACACGAGTTTTCCGTGACAGGCAAGCCATTCATGTTATGTTTTTTGTTAACTATTAAAAGCTGATGGGAGTAACGTTTTGAGAATTAGTAATGTGATTGTTATTCGTTAATGGCTTTGGATTACTCGGCCCATAACTTTATTTGCATTCGTCTCGCCGTGACTATCATTCTCAATGCGCAACACTAAATAGGCCCACCTTTTTAGTGTATGTAAATACGTTATTCGTTTATTTGTTCGCTAGAAACAAATGTTATAAACCCAATTAAGAGGAAATTAAATAGTGTCTTATATATTGTAAAATATTGTTAACGAAAAACAAGGGCCCAAAGGAACTGTCAGCAGGATTGATCAGGCTAGATTCTATAAATACCAACTCAGGCAACTGATCAGCTGATTACATCTTCTCAAATCCATCAATGGATTGTAATATTTTTGGACGAATTTTCCTCTTTAAAACAAATTTTACATTGAATAATTTAATATGTAAAATGATGATTATTTCATGTCGTCTTTTTTTTGTTTTTGTTTTGTTCCTGAACATTGTGAGCACATGTGTTTTTATTATATAAAAAAACACTTATTCAGTGAACAATCATGACACCAAAAATGTTACTAAATGAGTCATCTAATTTCCCCATATTTGTGAATGACAAGAAACAATGTGAATTTGACAAGCACAATAATTTATTGTGTGTGAAACATAAATACATAGGATATATGTAAACAATAAATTGTCATTTCAGTAGTTCTACAAATATTTGCATTTTAATACCCTTGTAATTTTACATTGTTATTTTACTGCAACAGTTACGTCCAAACTTTATTCTTTTGTTTATTTATCAGATAAGAAGTTAAAACTTACTGATAATAGGTAATTTAAGATTAACATTTTCTTCTTTTTATCTTCATGAAAACAAGACATAATAATAAATATGAATTTTAGTGACCTGTTCATATGTGATTTTTTTTCGTAAAATGTATTAAAATCGAAATTAGACATTGCTAATATAAATAAATGAGGTTTATGGTAAAATGTTATAAGAGGACCTCTTGTTGGTCATTTCTTCATCACCAATAAATTTGAGTTTTTCTTTACTTACCATGTTCTGAAAAATTTACACATTAGAATAATTTAAGGTCTCTGATTAAAATAGCGACACAGCTTTCCACTCCCAGGCAGCCAATTAGATTATGTGAAAAAAATAAACCACTGTAAACCTTGTAAAGGAAGAATAATAAATAAAAATACATTTCTTATTTTGTCATATGTCTAGTTTATCATCCCAAGAAATGCTTAATAATTATCATTAAAATTAAGCTAGCTATGCATATTGGGGCTCTTTATCTGCTATGATAATATAACAATTGCATTATTAGAGAAGTGTTTTTTTCAGTAATCATGGTAAATAATAAATCTTTGGTTTAAAGAATATACTTGAGACAAACCTAATTCTACATGTCTTAATACTCTGTATTGTCTGTTAATTCTGAAAATAATTAACTGTGATATTGAGTTTCTACCTAAAACTAATAATATGAAATTAATTTTGAGATTATTTCATCCTATCTAAAATACAAAACATATTTTGAGATGCATAAATGTACATCGTTGTTGAAAAAAAAAGAATATTGTTTTTGAAAAAAATACCTAATAAGGTTGATTGGTGCCCACCATCTTTATCTTCATCATTTTGTCTGCTCCCTATAATAAATCAAAATATTTAAGAAAAAATATAAATACATATATTACTTTCTGGAGTTTATTTAGATTTAGGTATGACTTAATACATTCAAGTTTAAAGGGGGTAATGTTGTTTGTTCATAAAGAGTTTCTTAATTTCCTTAGATAGTATGTTTAAATAATTGAAGTCTTCATGTTTAAAAGATACCAAATAATTATAGGCCAAAATACATTAATCATATTGATCTGGATAAACTCCACCTGTTGAAAGGGAAAACAACTGCTGTGGTTGCAAAACATCTTGGTCGTGAGTTGTACGGTCCGTCCGGCAAAGATCGATCGTTTCCTGCATTAAAATTGAGTATTGCTTTAGATCCATATTATCTGAGTGTTTATTTTCTTAAAATATGAAATTTAAGTCTCGATCATTTTAATATAACTATGAAATATGGTTTTGATCGATCGGCTCTAGATCAACACTTCGTTATAACGTGACATTTCTTATGTGGTTGATAGTTATTTTAAAAAAAAATACCAAACAATATGGTTTGTTTCACTATTTCATCGGTATTTTTACATGAATTAAGTAACTGTTTCATGAGCTTTGTTATTAGCCTTGAAAACGCCCAGTAAAGAATGTACAGGAGTGGCTCACCTGGTCCCGTAATATCGATGCGGTATCTCGCTTCGGTTACCGTCTTCTCATTTCCTGCAACTGAATCTGGTACATTGGGAAGCCGAAATTCTCTGATATATCTCCACGTATCACACCACTTCTTCCCCCACAAATTTTCTCTCATTCACCAACTTTCGGCAATGGAAACATTGTCACTACAGTACTGTTTTGACAGCTGGGGATTTCCTGTACTAGACGACCTCGTGTATTCTCGATCCAAAAATAGTGCCGTCAATTATTTTTAGCCAGCCAATCAAAACGCGATGACACAACTCTCCACACTCAGCCAGCCAATCAGATTGGGTGAAAAAAATAAACCACTGCGAATAAACAACCACTGCTGGCGATTGAAGATCAAGCCCTGTTATGGGAGCAAAATAAGTTATTTCATTCGCTCGTGTGTTACACTGATTTTACGAAACTCGAGAAATACAAACATTCTGACATTCGATCCGTAAAATCAGTGTAACACACATGCTCGAATAACAATCTCTATATACGACTCAAAATAAGTTTTAGAACACTCAGATATTTGGGATTGTGTTGTATGCAAGTATCACGTACACACAACACATTTAGGTTCTATGTGGCAAGTCGATTCAGCCAAAGAACTTGTAAGAAATACGAACTGAACATATTCATTGTAGGATTCTGGCTAATGGGATGGGCATGGCAACAACAATGGCAGGAACCCCCTTCTACATGAGTCCCGAGATATTCGAGATGAAAGGATACGACCACAAGGTAGCCCTTTTCCTTACTTTTAGAAACCTCTTTAACCACCCGGGAAGACACTTAAGAGGCAACTATGCTCGTCGTAAGAGGCAACTTACAGGATCGGGTGGTCAGGCCCGCTGACTTGGTTGATGCATGTCATCGTATCCCCGACCACCGTCATAAAGCTGGAATATTGCGGAGTGTGGCGTTAAACAACAAACAAACAAACAAATTACGATTGTCTGGTTCAGACTCGATTATTTACAGACCGCCGTCATATAGCTGAAATACTGGCCGGTCCCTTATCTCTCCACATTTTGTTTCAGACCGACATCTGGAGTTTCGGCTGTGTGGTGTACGAAATGGCGACAAGGGAACATGCCTTCGACGCCACGAATATGCCATGCCTCATCTATACAATTGTCGCTGGGAAAGTAGGTTGAAACTGAAATAACAGTTACCCGATATAATTATCATTTGCTTTGAAACATCTCCAGAGCATCAGTCAGGTTTGACAGCATCGTTCATCTGTCATAGGTTCCTGCGATACATGCATCTTACAGTGGTGGGCTGCGCCAACTAGTGAAGTCGATGATGGACAAGGACCCGGATGAACGACCAGGTGCTGAAGAACTGCTAAACCACAGCCCGATCAAGGAGTTTGGTGACAACCTTGAAAGGGTATGTACACTGGGCAGGTGCAAGGGTACAAAGTTGGCGCGGGTGGTCAAGTTATTTGAGGCGCACAATTGTCTGTGCAGAATTGGGTCTCATATGGGCATGCGAGAAACATATGATCGTAGGTTCGAATAACAATTTCGCCTTGATTATATTTCTTGGCTTATCAACACCTTATCGCCAGGGTAAAACAAAACAGCCAAAGCCTGCATCTTCGACAAAGCCCTTTGCATGCTCATCACAAATGTCTGACACGAGAGTCCATTGTATCCCATAACCGAAATACTGTTCAAAGCGGCGTTAAATCAAATGCCTTCACGTACTCCAAGGGTACAACGTATTGGCAGTATTTAAATAACGGTAATTATTGCTGAGTGCGGCTTTAAAACTCAAACAAACAATATGGTGGACTAATGAGTATCGGGTGGTTACGATGTGGGACCTGGACGATGGCGTGGATTGTGCTGTCAGCCACCGTTTTATAACAACATGTTGTGATTTACTCTTATGTTTAGCCCAGGACAATTATGAAGAAATTTAAGTTCAGGACCAAGTGGGGAACAGGTGAGTCAACTGTAGATGTCTCCAAGATGTTCCAGGCAGTGGAGCTGAACACTTCCCCGTCCTTCAGAGAACAGGATATATGTATTCCTATAGACTCTCTCGTGCTGCAAAGGAAGAGGTTGGGTCGGCCTCCACCCTCGGATCTATACGAAACCATCAAAGCGAACAGACACATGCCTAGGATGAAGACTGAGGAGACAGTCGATCTGAACCCGAGTCCAGGTCATGCGGCCGTTACGCAGGCAGTGATGCTGGGTTTGATGGGCAAAATGGCACAGTCTCCCGATGTGAGTATTAATGCCATGGACACCACGATATTCATTCTATATGTCAGAAGTAGCCGTCACGATATTTATGCTTTGTTTGTTTATTGTTTAACGCCTCACACAGCAATATTCCAGCTATGTGACGGCGGTCTGTAAATAATTGAGTCTGGACCAGACAATCCAGTGATTGGTATTCATGAGCATCGATCTAGGAAATTAGGATACGATGGACATGCATCAACCAAGTCGGCGAGCCTGACCACCCGATCCCGTTAGTCGCCTCTTACGGCAAGTATGGGTTGCTGAAGACCTTTTCTCTACCCGGTTCTTCACGGGTCGGAAAATAATGATGTCAGCAATGTTTGGAGCTCATAATAAAAGTCGAATATATGGCGGAAATACAATAGTTACTGTTGGCTAACTAGGCATTTGAGATTGTTTATGAGTTGTGTACTTAAAATGTACACTTGCATGCAAGGAAATGTTTAACTGAATATCAAAAGAGTCGACGTGATTGGATCGGGTGGCCAGGCTGGGTAGATTTTCGTGACCTGATGTCGATGGGTGACTGTTCATGGTTCCAATCGCTGGTTTTCTCGACACGATTATTTACAAGCTGCGTTATATAGCTGGAATATCGCTGACTACGGCGTTAGACAACATTCATTCATTCAGTTATTCGCAACTAACGGAAGCCATACAGGTGAAGATCCCTGATGAAGTTAGCTGTTATTTCAGACCACACTCAACGCTGCAACCATCTTGCCGGCTTCGGACAGGGACCGTACAGGGGGCATGGGGACATCAACCAGGAAAGGTTTGAAGCCTAGCATATTTACAGCTGTATCGCATGATTTACAGTAACGCGAAAAGACGACATCAATGGAACATCTCACAGGAATATCTTCCAAGAGCAAACCATTATATAAATATTACATTGTTAGCTTCAAATATTTATCCATGCTCCTTAATCCGAGGCATACGAACTAATCCTCTCCGCAATACGTGTTTGTGTATGTGTTGTATAACGTCACATTCCAGCTATATGACGGCGGTCTGTCAATAATCGAGTCTAGACCAGACAATCCAGTGATGGATATCGTAAGCATCGATCCACACAATTAGGATACGTCGACAACAAATTCAGCGAGTCTGGCCACCCGATCCCGTTAGTGGCCTCTTACGACAAGCATGGATTGCTGAAGGCATGTTCTAACCCGGATCTTCCCGCGTCTGCAATACGTTTTCCAACATGGGTTGGAAGATGACCTGCTGCTGTCTTTGTTTCTGGATTTGTCGGAATTTGCTTGTTATGTTACAAAATTTCTTACTTTAACATGGAACGTATTATCGTCATTTTCCCTGTTCCAAACATGTATTCTGTACCCATATAAGTAATAAGGGTTCACTTTTGTAACTACAAAGTTAGACAGGACGTGTTTTTCAAAGACGGCTTTATAAGATAGGTCAATGTTTCATGAGAATTCACGAACTTTCATCTACAATTTCAGACATAGTAACCCATGTCATGTTGAGCCAGATACAGCGTTTACAGAAGTGAGTCTTAACATTCTGGTAGTTTTATCCAAATACATAACTCATAAAAAACCCATTTCCGTGGGGATTCTAGAGAAGAATATCCATTGTTCATGTAGTCACACCATTTTTTACGTGACATCGTGAAATAACGAAAAAGTAACGCTATTTGACAATCAAACTCCATCGTGTTACGTACTAGGGCGATACGATACGGAATCTTAGGTACGACCCTGGAGTTGTCTTACACACTGAAAATCAGAGATATCACGTACTGATATTGGTTACCATAGTAATGAACTGTATACAATTGTTTGATAATCCTTATTATTTAACAGAGACTGTGCCCAAGGACTGGGAGAGGACAAACTGAAAGAGGCGTACTCTATCCTGGATTCGGTTCCAGATGCTGGGAAACTGAAAGTAGGGGAATTGCTAAACCCTTCGTCAAACCATACTCACTCACTCGCTCAGCTAAAGTTTACCTGTACAATGTAATACATTCAGGCTTCATTCCCGACACAGTCTTCGCTGTACTTGTTGACGATTTTAACATTTAATAAGTAAAAGAAAGTTACAAATTGATGCAACGAAATATCAATAGTCAAGCAACATCACGGCGAGGGACACTAGAAATGGGCTTCACACATTGTCCCCATGTGGGGAATCGAACCTGGGTCTTCGACATGACGGGCGGGCGCTTTAACCACAAGGCCCGAGTCGATTTAAATGGTGATCCGGTGGTCACAGTGTATACTTAGCTGAAGGTGTCATCGTGCCCCGACGGTATGGAACGTTGCTCAAGCTATCAAACACTGGTTCGATTGGCTCACACTCGGTTACCACAAGGCCGTGGTGACATAGCTGTCATATATCACTCACTCACTCACTCACTCTGATATGAGTACAGAGTAGTATATTGGTAAAATTATGTAAGTCTGTTTTACATCACTGATTCATTCTCTTTGTACTTGCAGGCACATCTCGTTGGGTTGATCGGGGAGGATAGGTATCGGGAATATGGCGAGAAGATCATGTACTTGCGTCTGTTCGAAAAGGGATCAAAGAAGATTGGATGATCAGAAGGGACAATAACTCCCAACTGATAACAGGATTCCATGTCTACTGATATCTACGGAAGAACAATGTGGAAGAATAAAATACAACTTACTGCAAAAGGCCATCAAGAATGTGTCTGATTCTAAATTCGGTATTAGTCAGCTTGGGCTGATGAACCTAAAGTAAACACTTCTGGGACTTCCGGTCGAAGCATCTGCACCTTCGTGGTCAACATGTATCTCAATCATGCATTACCTATCACAATGAAGGTCATACACAACGCATCAAAATCATTAATGGCTGCGTGGAACATTGTATGTATCGTATCTTACCTTAGACATCCAACTGTTTCAAATTCGACTTGTGGGTCTGTGCAGATGATTTCCACTTGAAGGTTCTCCCCCACGGCTACGTGGATGTCATATTTCAATGCAAATGTAATTAATGTATGAATGCATCAAGTTCCTTTTTATCGGTTTCTTTGTTGATTTTTTCGCTCAAAACTAGAATTCGTTGATCGAGAATATGTGAGAAAAAAAACACCTTCAAATATATTTTGTCTTTTGTGTAAACATGTATTACAAAATACAATAATAATTACAATTCAATGTCATGATAACCAAAGATCCTGAATAATTATTTAAACATGTCGTGGTGAGTTTAATATCTTGTGTCGGGAAAACAATATGTGATATATTTTATTTAAGAATTGACTGGATATTTTTCGGTTCATTAATGTATGAATCGGAAAACAAATGTGAAAACATTTGTATAGATTCCGCTTTTGTAAAAATCAATCTTTAAAATAAAATTCGACAACGAAAACGTGTGTTATCTACAATAGTTTAACTAAAAACAGTTGTATATATCAAAGCAGACACAGATGACGAGATTGATAAAGATTCCAGGTGTAGGAATACATACTGTGGCGGGACATGAATCAGGTGACTGCTGACATGCAGGCCGAGGAGACACAATCGTTACATGTCAGTAAAATTTACATTAAAATGAGATTTGTTTGTTTGTTTGTTGTTTAACAACTCATTCAGCAATATAATAGCTATATGACGGCGGTCTGTGTATATAATCGATTCTGGCCCAGACAATCCAGTGATTGATATCATGAGCATCGATCCACGCATTTGGGATCGATGACATGCATCAATCAAGTCAGCGAGCCTGACCACCCGATCCCGCTAGTCGCCTCTTACGGCATACTCGCCTTTTACGGCAGGCAGGGATTGTTCAAGATAATTCTACCCCGCACCTTCATGGGGGGAAGGCCCAATGGCGACAGATCGTAGACGTTTCCATGTTTGTGGAACAAGTATAATAATAAGGGCGGATATGGGATTCTAACTGACGATGAATAGATCCTGGCAAAGCTTTACGGCGTCTGAGACGACTGGGTCAGCCCCCGGTCATATTAATGAGCCCCTGCAATTTAAGATCAAACCATCCGCGAACAGCTGCATTCTATTTCTTAAGAAACATATTATATATGCTGATTTCTTATATTAATTTCTGTAAAAAGATACAGTGAAATGTTTTGGGGTAATGACGAAGGATTGCTTCATTCACTTTCTATACTGGTGAACTACTTTGAATTATATTTTTGATTGAGTGAATGGAAGTTGGCAACGTTCCAGCGACGTCACGTTCTGTCACTAATGCAATCCAGTGCAATTTTTTTCTGTTACTAAAATCCATGCAAATATAATAATTATATCAGAAATCGTTCAGAAATACCTGTAAAAGTACATGCGTGTGTAATCAAAAGAACTAGACCAAAGTCGGTCTCGGCAAATGGGTCAACTACATATCAGTAAATGCCTCTACCAACCATGCAGCACAATATTCTATTATACTCGAGATTCGTTTGATATATGACAAATAAAGGGTAATAACAGCACCTCAGCCCAACAAAGCACGTCGCTTCTCATATTTAGCTGAAAGCGTGTCACAACGCCATATGAGTGTCATGACAATAATTCAACTCTAACCCGGAAGTCCCAAAGCGAAAGTACAAGTTGAATTCGATCTAGGGTTTTTCCATACAGTAACAACAGTGTACTACGCAAAACTGTCATGGAGTCGGACTACCAGATCATCAGGGAGCTGGGGAAGGGGGCGTTTGGAACAGTGTACCTCATCAAACACAAAAGAGCACAGGAATGGGTAATGTACAGTTCACCAGTTCGCTGTCCCGCGTTCATCTTTGTTGGCATGACGCCCTGGTGGTTATGGTATACTGAAGGTAGGGTGTAAACACTTATGTAGACCTCCTAGAAGTACTAGTATGGGACTGGCGGATGTCTTGTTATAACTCATTCTGTTCACTATGAACGACGTTATTCCATATTTAATAGCATATACGTGCGTGTGTGTGTGTGTGTGTGTGTGTGTGTGTGTGTGTGCTTGTACTAGTCCGGACTAAATGCTGGTTTTCGTGGTAGCCCAGTCCGACTAAGATCTGCAGCAGTTTAACCATGCCCAACTCAGACACAGCACACGGACTCCGAGTCGACCAGTCCTTGTCTTACGGCCGGAGATGAATCCAGCGACCTTCCCCTCCCTGTTGTCAGTTAAGTGGATGGCATGCAATATTCACGGATGTATGTTTTAGCTCACTTCGACGCGTGTAAACAAACGCTATATCTAAATTCCTTCAAGCTATGTCATCATATTGAGATGCAGGACTCTGTCGCCTAGGTTTCGAAATTGTAATTAGTGCTATATAGTATCTCAATGTAATAACGGTAACGTTTAACTACTACAATCATAGTGGGTTTTCTTCTCTCTCTTTAACTTGCGCTGTATTGGCATCACTATAACAAGCCGTCAGAGTGGGTTTTGAAGGAGGGCTTTGAGACTCTTTAAGTTATGTCATATTGACACTTATATATGTCTAGAAGTTAGTGTGGAGTACAGTGACCGTGTCAGATCTTCAAGAGGGGACACAAGGTGTATTCGCGATGTAACCCGATGCATAAGAAGCTGTTACAGACAACCGAATGAGTAAATCACAGTTTCATTTAATATTAATATCATTTACAAAAGTCCCAAAGGAGTCCCCCGTGTCCCCACCACATAAGCGCACAAACACAGACGGAAAGAGACAGACACACCCCTCTGGGTCCGTGTGTGCATTTTGTACTACCTTAATCGTTTGGAGCACTGATTGCCATGGAGCGACCTATATACAACAGTACCCAGTACTCGCACAGCTGCACGCACATTGTTATGTTAAGGCAGATGACTCAGCTTAAAGACGCAGCCATAAAAGTAGATGTCCGTGTGGGGACCGTGTTAGTAGGGCTGGGTCGAGTTTACACTGAATCATGCCAGGGTGGACTGGGCTCAACTGAGGCATGGACAGCCTGTTGTGTAGCACTGAAACCTAGACCCTGTTCTATTGATAGGTTAGCGTGACAGGTACAACCTTTATCTTTTGAACTGCAGTAAACATTGTCTCGCCACCACCTCGCTGTACGGCCCCCGTTTCCTCGATATAAGAACGTTTCTCGAACGGACACTGTACGCAGGAGGCATTCAAGGGACGCAACTCTGCGTAAAGTCACATATAAGGTTACTATTTTGAACCTTTATTCGGCAGTATACAACACAGTGATATGTTCACCCACTACTACTACTACTACTACTACTACTACTACATGGGACCTGTGAAGATCCGGGGTAGAATAGGTCTTCGGCAACCCATGCTTGCCGTAAAAGGCGACTATGCTTGTCGTAAGTGGCGAATAACGGGATAGGGTGACCAGGCTCGCTGACTTGGTTGATGTATGTCATTTTAATTGGACAAACAGAGGCAATGAATCTAATTTTCAACAATATACGGCTCTAACCGCATCAACAGCAAATATAATGTATTAGCAAACAACGTCGTTTTTCACGGATAGACCTCATTCTCGCAATGAGGTGACAGTTATCAAAAGGCATCCACTTTTGCGACTACGGTCTTTCTTAAAATGTAATAACGGGTTCCATCATAACTTTAAATGGTTTGAGTATATTTTAAATCTTTTACATATGAGAATGAAAGAGACTACATTCACCATATGTTATTGCATTTTCAATTCTGTTTTACCTACATTCAAACATTGTTTATAGAAAATTAGGATATAGCCCGTTTCATACTGCCACATAAAGAGTCATCATAATATAAGTTACTTGTGTTGGAGAAAAGATGATGGGGATCTCAGATGTTCACGAACACGGATATGCACCGACAAACCAATTAGCATTACCAGGTCACCATGGACCCGGTGTATGTTGGTTTATAATGATAGATTACTAAAATGTGTACATAACTGTATTCTCGCTATGTATATTGAGTATATAATACGGATGATGTATCGTCGTTATGTTTATTTGCTTGTTGTTTACCTCCGCACTCACTAGCTGTCGATAACTAAATGAATGAATGGATGAAAGTTGTCTAACGCCGTAGTCAGCAATAATCCAGCAATATGACGGCGATCAGTGAATAATCTGTCTGGATCAGACAATCCAGTGAATGGCATCATGAGCATCGTCTACGCAAATGGAATACGATGACAGGCATCAACCATCTCAGCGATCCTGACCACCCGATCCCGTTTGTCGCCTATTACAAGCATAGTCGCCTCTTACCACAAGCATGAAGAAAACCAATCGTAACCCGGATGTTCACGGGTGATGTATCTTGGTGAATTTAAGCCGCATCCATGTTTGAAAGCCTTGCTTACCAATTTCTTGAAAACGGAAATTTCATATCTACGATCGTCGTTTTACAAACAGATTGATTGTCACAAGCACAATTGTAATCTATGTTAGCAAATACCGATTACCAAGTCTGAGAATCCCTTCCATTTCGGGATACAGTAATCAGCTCTTATTTATTGGGCGAGACCTTATGAGGAGACCTCTCCCAGTCAGTTTTACTGCCTACGACATAGTACATCTGGATCAGCCAATGTTATTAATTATTATTTTTCATCTACCAGTTCGCCCTGAAAACTGTGGATTTGTCAAAAGCCAACACCGAAGAGAGGGCCAGTGCCGAGAAGGAGGCCAATCTGATGCGAGAGTTGGACCATGATCACGTGGTGCGTTACGTGGCCTCGACCTTCAACGGGTCCACCCTCTTCATCTTCACGGAGTACTGCGAGGGCGGGGATCTGTCCCACTTCCTGGAAGACTCCAGCGGGAAACTGCCGGAAGACTTGATCGTGTGTTGGGTGTATCAGACAGCAGAGGCCTTGAAGGTAAAAGATTTTTGATACCTAATTTGAAAGAACCATCCAGGCATAATTTCACTGATACTGTTTCAGGAAGAGCATTACCAGAAGATACGAAAATGGGGATATGCTGATTCGGGCACGCGTTTTATTCCCGACACAAAGCGGTGTGTACATCACAGCAAGCCATGAAGCTATTGCACGATTTTGTCAATGCAAATGACTAGTTCTGGTATATACAAACCATGGAGTGCTCGGTATGGGGAGTAAGTAAGGTTTGACGACGATTGTAGCAATATGACTGTCGTGTCACCGCATGGGACACCATTATTTTGATGTACACATCATTGACGTCAACTCGGATTTTCGGAGTGACCAACGATCCCGTTAACCGGCCGCTTAAGGTGCTTTCTCCGTCCTGTTTGCGGGGCGGTCGGGTAGCCTAGTGGTTAAAGCGTTCGCTCGTCACACCAAAGACCCGGGTTCTATTCCCGACATGAGTACAATGTGTGAAGCCCATTTCTGGTGTCCCCCGCCGTGATATTGCTGGAATATTGCTAAAAGGGGCGTAAAACTATACTCACTCACTCACTCATCCTGTTTGCAGAAGGTAACACAAAATTGTATTACTGGCAATACAGGAGAAGGACATGTACATTCGAACATCCTAAAATTACATTTTTATCGTGGCTGAAAGTAACGTTCGACCCGGACATATTCTCCATGTTACAGTACCTGCATCAGCGAAAGATCCTCCACAGAGACCTTAAACCTCAGAACATCTACTTGAGTGGCGAAGGGGACGTTAAACTTGGGGACCTCGGTATTGCAAGGTAAATATACCAGTAATTGAGACAACGTCCGCTCTTATAGGATAGCATCCACACTACGAGGTAACATCCACACTACTACAATGTAACATCGACACCCCCACAAGGTGACATCCACACTACTATAAGATAACATCCATACTCCCAAAAGGTAACACCACACCACAATGAAACATTCACACCACTACAAGGTGACATCCATACTACAAGGAAACATCCACACTCCCACAAGGTAACATCCACATTCCCACAAGGTAACACCACACCACAGTGAAACATCAACACTACTACACGGAAACATCCACACTACAACAGTCCGTTTGACTCCAAATGAGAACGATGAATTGCAAAATAACTCGAAATCCAGAAAAGTGTATGAAACATCAATACGGTACTTGACCATGAATACTCTGTACCCAACAAAATCTGAATTTTGTTTATTTTAAGACCCATGACGAATGAAGTTCTTTAAGAAACTATCATGTAATTTTGTACAGAAATGTGTACATGGCACGTAGGAGGGACAAACCGTGGAAGGCACAGCGCACGCATGCACTGCACGTTCTGTGGTAGGGGAAATGACAGAGCGTTAGAGGGGCCGTCTCATGATAATTTCAGTCGCAATCTGACTCGCTCATGCCATAGATCTCGTCGTCGAAACTGCTGGTGCCTAAACCGACTGCCACTATTATAGGTTGGACTGTTGCTGGCCGTGACCAATTATGTGGCTCTATCTCGTCAACGACTGTGGCCACACACGGCCTCCATGTCTCTACTGTTACCCGACCAAGGGATTCCTTTACGAACTGTTCAACGTCTCGTAATTTGAACGTTGTGTTCGATCGCCCAACATCACCCTTGACGATGCCCCATACCAACTTTATACACGGGTTCAGGTTTAATAGTTTTGATGATTTCATAGAGCTGTGGTTTCGTCGCTCGAGAAGGAAAGGTAATGTTCCTCCGTTGCAGCCAAGTAACCATGTCTCCTTTCCGGTTATCAGAGGTTGGAGTCTTGCTTTCTGGATCCTGCACACTATGATATGGTGCAATGTCCATGACAATGAGAGACTTGGTAGGCAAAGCAGGGACTAATTTATCTTTCACCCACTCCAGAAATACATTGCCATTCATTTCTGTGTGGTAGTCCCTGTTGTCTTTGGCCTTGGCTCTAAAGACGAGGTCACAGTCTGGGAGAAAACCCTGATTAGCAGAACCAGCATGGAGAACTATGAGTCTTTCACCCTTTCCCATTGGTAACTTTCTACCAGACGCCTTACAGTCACCACTGGGTACCTACTGACTGCTGGCTGTGTGTGACGCATTTACCCATGTCTCATCTCAAGAAGACGGGCTATAGTTTGTACTTTGTAACACGTAAATCATGGTCAGTTTCAAGGTGTTTCTTCAAAATTCTACTTATTTTCTGAGTGCAGTTTAACAATTGCACGTCTGACTTGATCCCTCTGAAAACTGTCTAATTTTTCAACCTTGCGTGGTTTTGACATGTTCGCTACCTCCTTGGCCTGATTATTTGTATCTCGTCGACTAACAACATTTTTTAGTTTCTGAGGGGACATACCAAGAGCTTTTGAAGCTCGTTTCAAGAATTTATTAATTGCATAAAAAGGCTTTGCTCTTTCTGCTTCACTTCTAAAGAAATCATACACATTCAACATCAACTGTTTAACCTCTGCTGAGTAGCGCATCTTGTCATTGAATGAACACGGTCACTGTTCCTTCCACGGTTTGTCCCCCTACGTGTCATGTACACATTTCTATACAAAATTACATGATAGTTTCTTAAAGAACTTCATCCGTCATGGGTCTTAAAATAAACAAAATTCAGATTTTGTTGGGTACAGGGTATTCATGGTCAAGTACCGTATTGATGTTTCATACACTTCTGGATTTCGAGTTATTTTGCAATTCATCGTTCTCATTTGGAGTCAAACGGACTGTACTAGTTAACACTACACCACAATGAAGCATCCACACTACTACAAGGTAACATCCACACTCCCACAAGGTAACATCCTTGTTCTCTTGTAGGATTCTGGACAAAGGAGCTGACATGGCGTCCACAATGGCAGGGACCCCGTGCTACATGAGTCCCGAGATATTTCAGATGAAGGGCTACAACCACAAGGTACAATCAATGCCATACCTCTTTTTTTTAAAGTAAACAATATAAATCATTCTGCCTTTGAGGTAGGCATCAAGCGATACACATTGGTAAAACATTCCTATAAACATCACGTGACCCATATGAGGCAAAATGGATTTCCTTTTTGTACACGACACCAGTGTTAAATAACACTATGTGTAAAAACATCCCCGTGACACTAAAACTATCGACTATGTAAGCATCATGGTTTGATTAAGCAGCGCTTTGAATGAGCGTTCGATGACGACCTTTAAGTCAAAAATGATCTCTTCAAGTATTTTAGGCTTCCAATAAATAAAGCCAAAGGCAGTGTGGTTATAATAACGTAGACAAGGCTATGTGCTGTGGATAGCTTTACGTGTTTCCAAAGTTACCCAATATCTCTATGTTTTTTCCATAACCTACCATTATGTACCATGTATGTTTCAGACTGACATCTGGAGTTTCGGCTGTGTGGTGTACGAGATGGCAGCGGGAGAGCGGGCGTTTGATGCCCCTATCATACAATTCCTCATCTTCAAAGTGGTGGCTGGGATAGTAGGTTCCATCTGAACTACCTGCTCGTTAAATTTCAACAGTCCACTTACGGTCCAATTAGGGAACGTCCATTTTTTATTTGGGTGTGTGTGTGTTCCCCAAACAATAATTTGCCCTCAAGTTTTAACAAAAAGAAAAATTTTTGCTTGACATGCTTGATGTCTGTATTGTGAGATTTGGAATCATGCCGCCTCGGTCTGTCGTTCTGTCGTAGGTCCCTCCAATTCATGGTGACTACAGTAATGAATTGCGTCAGCTGGTGAAGTCGATGATGGCCAAAGACCCAGATGACCGTCCCAGTGCTGCAGATCTGCTAAACCGTAGCCCAGTCAAGGAATTCAGAGAAAGTCCTCAAAGGGTATAATACACATTATACATAATATAGCTATCATATACTCATAAACATGTGATTGTATCCTTACATATATGAAGCCGAAATCACTGCGGTACCACGGATCTAAGCCAGTGGGTAATTTGTCATCTCATTCCAACCATTCATAATCCTTTTCAGCCTAAGAAAATTATGGAAAGCAAAGGATTTAGGACCAAGTGGGGGACATGTGAGTCAACGGTCGACGTGGCGAAGATGTTTAAGGCCATGATGTTGAATCCTGCCCCACCCTTCAGAGAGGGCGACATACGCATCCCTGCAGATTCTCTCCAACTACACAGAGAAAGACTCGGTCTCACCGGAGTGGCTGAAGCTGCACAGGCCACCGGAGGCGGAGCGGCAGGAATATATGGGACCATTATGGCTCCAAAACAAAAGGCCAAGCAGAAAGTTGCCGACAAGAAAATAGAGGTGACCCTGAAACCCGAAAAGTCGAGGACAGAGATGTCCGAAGGAAGAGCCGCCATCATGAATGCAGTGGTGCGGGGCCTGATGGGAAAGATGGTGTCGACGGATGTGAGCCAGGACGTGAGTATCAACAGCACCTGACGAACTAACAGGACAGTTTCACCATATCATGCATATCATTATGCCTCAATGTGAGATTGACCAATCAGAGAGGAGATCTACTGACCCCACATGAGCCCGTATACTGTCAGTACAAATCCAAGATGATTGATGCTGACTTAATATGAGACCGTATACCGTCAGTAACCTAATATGACACCGTATATGGCAACTAAAGACACCATAACTAAAAATATGCAGTGGTTAAACGTCATTATGAGTAAAGAAATGAGGGTGGTGTTAGGGACCAATTCTAACCAAGGTCGCACAAGAAAGCGAAATCTAACCCATTATCGAACGAGTACTGTGTGACATTGCCACTTGAACCATTACCATTCCGAGGTTACTGATGAAGATAGTTCTTGTTTCAGAGAACAGTCCGCGATTCTTTCTCGAGCTCGTCTTCTTCAGAATCGGACATGGACACCACACTTGGCGCCAGTAAAGGAGCCACCGACAAGAAAGGTCCTACTTTCTATAAAATCATGACATAACTACTAGCTCGATTAGCGAAATAGCAACGGTTTTGATTTAGCTTTTTTATGAGAAGATCCTACAATCAAATTCTCCTGTAAAATGGTTCGTTACTGTCCAGGAGTTTGTATTTATTTGCAACAAATCAGACAATTTCAATTTCTCAAGGGCAAGATCAAAGGCTTCAAAAATCGGGTTTGAAAATGTTCTCTCGAAACTATCACAAAAAAAGCCACCTTAGCGGGCCTGCATGTTTAATTTTGCGCGCGTAACTTCAACGTTTGAATGAATGCTGTGTTAAGGGTGTCCTGTAAATACCCGAGACGGGTGAACCAGTCGTTGTTAGCGCCCGAGACGGGTGAATCAGTTGTTGTTAGCACCCGAGACGGGTGAACCAGTTGTTAGCACCCGTCCGGGCGCGATGACACGTGATAAGGCAGGTAATGCTATTGTATTTGGAGAACTCATCGACTCTTATTCATGGTTTCAGCAATAGAGGCTCAATTCCTCATGCGACAAATACAGGTGTTGCAGAGGTAAGTATTATTATTCAGTGACCCATGTTTCTTGAGTAAGCATAAAACGTCAGTTGATATATGTATACCAAGGCCGAGTTCCACAAAGCAATCTTAGCGCTACGACTGTCGTAAGTCTATGTTAAGTCATGGGAGTTACGCTTACCGTAATTGTGGAACGGAACATTTGTCATAAAATCAAATTTTCAAAGTTTGAAATGGGCTCTGTCTTCACAGGGATAAAAAAGGGACGGCCTGCATTGAGATAATTTGCTTATAAAAGATAGAAAAGGTTCAAATCGGGACTGTATATGGTTTGCCTCATCCAACTATTCGGTATATCCGGTTTCAACTTAGATATCGGATTTAGTCTACAGCAAACACAAAAGATGATTAATTACCTTTGAAGTGTGATAGCTCGACACTACCATCGAAATGGGATTAGATATGGCAGACAGAGGTCTTTTGTTGGTTTAATTATTGACGCATGTTAAAGAGACGCTTGCCATATAATTGATAAACCGTGATTGAAGTGGAACAAATGTGTCCACTAGCTTTTGTATTTAAATAAAAAATGTTTTCCGTTTCTGCCTTGTGTGTTTATAAAGTTCTGATAATAATGCATAGTCTTGAACCCCATTTCACCTCAGCCTTAAAGTTATGCACAATAAGGCTTACTTTAACTAGATTGGTAACAATTCAAATGCCATTAATTCGGTTGGAAACGACTGAGATCAAACTGAGGTTAGATGTCAGCTATGCCAGCAATGCTATGTTTGTGTTTTGATGTGATTGGTTGTGCTCCTCAGACACTGTGCCGAAGGGTTGGGGCAGAGTACCTTGACGAATGCTTACTCCATCCTGGAGTCGGTGACCGACGCTGGCCAACTGAAGGTATGCTTATAACCAGTAGTGTTGTTGGATGGATCACATGAAAAGTGTATCCGACCAATGTGGTCTCATGTCTGGGCTTTTAGGTTAAACATGGTAATAAATAATTATGCTTTCTATTTTGTGTCATAAGGGCCAGACAGACACAACGTACCTTTTTCACTTGTCCAATGACTACCAAGCGCATTGGCTTCTTTAAAATATTGAGGGGAAAAAAGATGATAACTTCTGCATTGTTTTGTGTTTGCAGGCCCGCCTCGTGAAGTTGATTGGGGAGGATAAGTTCCGGCAATATGGCGAGAAGATCATGTACTTGCGTCTGTTCGAAGTCGGATTAGACAAGGTCCAATCTCAGATGGGAAAGTAACTCCTTATAGAATAATAAAAGTTCAGTACAACTGATGACAACGGACATGAGGAGCATAGGAACTCTGCCAACCGGTCAACTGTACGTACGACCTCTCGTGACGGAATGCTGCGGGTAGTATTCACAAACACTGGTGACGGAAAGCTGCGGGTATTATTCACAAACACTCGTGACACAGGAGGCACGTGGCACCGACTCGGGCGACTGGGGCATCGTGAATACTCTTATTATTTTGATGTAACAATTTACAATGCAAACAGAATGTGTCTTCACCAGCTAAACTGAAACTAAATAGAAAATGTCTGTCTTTGTTAAATTCTTATTTGAAATATCGCTTCTGGACCATCGCTGATCCCCATGCTTGTACAGAAGCAGTAGCATGGTTAAATTACCGTTATGTGCGGGCTTAGCGGGAGTAAAACCGGCCCAGTATAACTGCGAGTGTATTCTCCGTTTGTCTTATGCCAGTCATTTGAAGGTCATAGTGCGAGATATACATAACCGTAATTATTCTAATGAAAGCCCAGAAGGTATTTGACTTCGGCGCACAAGTATTCATTACCTGTGATAACGGTGGACTTTGTTTCCGAAACATGGGAACAAGGTACCAGTCCTCATATACTACGGCTTTTGTGCAAGAAGTATGTTTTCTTATCGAATATTCTTATCATTATTATATCATTGGTCTCAAGTATATATAGAATATTTGCCATATATTGTGCTTTGTTGTTCACGTGTGTGTTATTCCATATCAATGTGATAAAAGAATGTCTTATAGTAAGTACTGAAAATGTGTCATCCAGACATTATATTATAAATGTGATTGCCATTGATTCAGTGGGATGTCTTGATCCCATGTGAAATAAACACACAATTACTCAGATGGGAAGATTGTGGTGAGTGAATTGGGTTCAACACCGCTCTGAACAGAATTAAGTATTGTCAGTGAATAGCTCTGAGTCAGTTATATGAAAGCTCGTCAGCTGAATGTGGGACGAATGTCTGATGTCATTCAGTTCATAGATGTTTAATGTGAAAGACAAGCACACGGCTGACAATTACGGCGAATTGGGATTCGAACCCAAGATGAAAGGATCTTGCACAGCGACTTGGGGAGCATCAGACGACTGGGCACACATAAGACTTTGGAAGGATACTCCACCGGGTACTAGACCCCTTGACGATGTCTGGTGTTAATAGGTCCCCACCAACCTATGCTTGTCGTACGAGGCGAATTAATGGATCAGGTGGCCTGGCTCGTTGATTTGGGTGAGAATAGGTCATCGTACCCAGGCGGCGTGGACCGTTACTCATAACATTGTTACCGGGTTTTTCTGACATGACTCGATTATCTACAGGCTCCGTCATACAGCTGAGATATTGCTAAGTGCGGCGTCACGACAAGTAACTAACAAACCACCACGAGGTAATGACACAATACGTGAAACCCATTCTTGATCTTCTTTTACCTGATACTGTCGCGGTACTGCTTTCAGTGTGTAAACCGTTCGTTTCTTACTCATGAATGTATCCACACAAACAAATGTGAATTTACAAATCTTGTACGTTCAGGTTATGTTTGTTTGTTTGTTGTCTAACGTCGCACTCGGCACAATTCAAGGAAGATGACGGCGGTCTATAAATAATCGACTCTGGAGCAGGCAATCCCGTGATTAACAATCCCATGATTATGAGCTTCGATCTAAGTAATTGGGATACGATGACATGCATTAAACCAAGTCAGTGAGCCTGACCATCCGATCCCGCTGGTCGCCTCTTACGATAAGCATGGGTTGAAAACCTATTCCAACCCGGATCTTCACGGGTCTTCAGGATAATGTAATCACTGCGGTAGTATTGACGATGGATTAAGGATGACATATTATGTCAAGTTCCATGTACATGTCGACGGGAAAATGCAATCGTAAGATTAGGTATTTAAATGGAGTATCCAAGAGAAGAAGGTATTCTTTCAGAACGTGTACACTACATCCACACTTTATCTGTCGCAACAATTATACGACATTACGTGGCAACGAAGGTAACTTTTATTCAAGGGCGGAATAGGTTATAAGACCCTAGTAATCAACACTTTAGTACGAACGGAAGTAAGAGGATGGGATGTCTAAAATGAGTTACATTGTGCACATCGTCACCGGTCGAGCAAAGCAAGCCACGTATATTGTTCGTGATAAGCAGAATCATTATGTAGCATTTTTGATTGAGTCTAAACCTCAACGTACGCGCTGGACAAACTAGGTTGCCAAGGTAAAGAGATACTGACGTTGATGTATATTTAGAATACTTCATGAAAGTCTCGCTGATTTTATGCCATTCCAGAAATGAGAGTTTAACAGGAGTAGATTAGGGATACTGTTATCCATCTACCTTCAGAGACGCCATTGGTATAGGATCATATACACATAACTTCAGACTCATAAACCAAGAGGTTTTGGAGATGTAAACATGCAGTAACTTTAATAAACGGGGTTATGTTCAAAGGACATTGCATGGCAAAACATCAAAATACCTCATGCCACATACTTCCTTATCAAAGTTACAAACGATTCTTGTTAAATAATGGTAAACAATAAATTGGCTTTTATCAAATCAAACATCAAAATGCGGTTTGTTAAGGAGTGTTACCATATATCAAACTATCGCAATTGTTTGCCCTACAATAGTACTATATCGATGTGAATTAAAGATGCCAATAGTTTGCATAACAATAGTTTCCATAGTCGCATTTAATTATTTAGTAATACACAAACTAGTGGGCAAAAGTAACGCCACCAAACAATTTTCTGGTCTAAAACAAAACAGACGCAAAATTTAGTAACAGTTGATGTTTTATTATACGAAAAAACAATTATTCAAAAACGGTATTTGAAAATGACAAGATCAAAAACCATGTACCAAGTTCTGCAGACACGATTATCATGCTGGGTGCACTGTCCAATATTCGATCACAGAATCCGCAGAACCGACGTCGATCTCTTTTAAAGTCCCGTGCTACACACATTGCTCAGTTTCGGATGTGTCCCCCTCCAGCAACGATACAGGCCATAACACCACGTCGAACTGAGTACACGAGTCTCCTGACATCCTGATTAGGGATCTTACGCCATTCCTCCTGCCGGGCAATTGCCAAAACATACCTCGTCAATGGCGGCTGTTGAGGTTTCCGAATCCTGCGTCTAAGTTGGTATGACTATAAGGCCCCACTTCAACACGTCGGTAGATTCGAACAAGCCCATCAGACTTGAAGAGCTGGCACCTACTCTCGTCGCTGAAGAGCACTCTTCGCCAATTTCTCTGCTGCCACTGCTGTGCAGTTCTGGCCCATCTCAGTCTGTGACGTCGGTGTAGAAACGTTAACGTCATGCCCTTGAAAGGTCGATAGGCAAGGAGACCATACAGGCGGAGTCGTCGAGCAACGGTCCTTCTACTGACTGGATGACCAAGACTGTGTACGGATGATGACGTCACAGTTATGAATCTGGACCTTAGGTGAAGAACCCGTAAATACCGGTCTTAATGTGGGGTCGTGACCTTGGGTAATCCACTCCTCGGCCTGTCTGCAGTACTGCCAGTTTGCTTGTGACTTGAAGCAGCCCATGATCCTGGCAACGTGCTCCTAAAGGGTGTCCTTATTACACCTCATTGAAAGCTCGTGTCAATGTTCAATGGTTCGGCGTCGGCGTCTGTAAACATCTTCTCAATGAAGTAAAAAACGGACTTTTCTCCTTCTGATGGACATCATATTTTGTTAAAAACACATTAGAGTTTAGTATTTATGCCGAAAATATATGAATATCAGCTATTAAGTGGGTGTCTTCGTTGACATTCCAAACTATTGACTGCATATCCAGATGAGTTGTAATGACGTCATTTTGTCTTAAACCATATTATTTTAGGCTAATTAAGTACGAGTTAACGAGATTTCGTTATCTTAGCTATGACTACTATGGAGACTTGTCAGGAAAACCGGAATGGTCTAACCAACATTCTCTACACTCCAGCAAAGAGCTATACAGCATCTAAAAATATTTGAAGACATGATGAGGCTTCCAGACGACCTCAGCTGGCACAAAACTGCCTTTCTACGGTAACTGGGGTATCATTGGGTGTGGACAGCACCCGCAACTCATTCTTACACTTCACCATGAATGCGGAAGGTTATACTTTCCCAGCTACTCGGAACATTCTGACCAGCAAAATACACCCCTATATCTACTGACCACATTCTTCACAGGGAAAGTCCAGCATAACATGGCTTTCTCAGAGTGGAGCCCACGTGACCACGGACAGTTGTAGTGTGTAAACCCATGTCCAGGCACCTTGGTCGTCTGGGTATAACTTACTCGGGTAAGACATGTTCATATTAAACGAAGTGAATCGAATATAAATTGCATTACGATGGTGCCGATTATACACCACAGTTCTGTGGAGACAATAAAAAGCTGTATTTATTAAGTAATGATAATTATATCGCGAGATTACAAATACAAAATTTCAAAAGATTCACGCAACTAGCCTGATATTCCAGTTGGTGTTAAGACCCAGCCTTGCTATTGTGACTCTTCGGATCAGGAATTTATCTATTCAGGGAGCTCGTATTATTTATGTTTTTACCAGATGTTAATGCTTGGAAATGCTCACCAGACAGCTAAAGTTTATCGAAAGTTGGCATCGGTTGGAACATTATACGACAATAATTTGTTCATATGACAACTTACACATTTAGGCCTTATCAGTGTATATGTTACACCAAATCTGTGCACCTGCCCATACAGCTTGCCCATTTCATGAAATGGACAGTTGCGTGTATGAGTTTAAAATCTTATTCACAGAAGTCGAAAGGACAAAGTTCGCGAAAGGACGTTACCTGTAATGGGATGTCCTCAGCGAGAACTTGTATCCGATTTTAATGAGATTGAGGTACTCTAAGCATGTGATTTACATCTGTTTAAAGCAGTAATTGTTTATTGTTAAGAAAGTTTATCTCTGCAGTTTATTCTATGACATGGAATTCGTCTCGTATTCCGTGGTTAATCCCTATGATGTCATATGTACAGATAACTTCCTTTGCAGGGGTGAAACTACCATTATAGCAGAAAAGCAATTGCTTACACCTGTTTAGGCACATTTTCTTTAAATAAGTAAACCACAATTTACAATCTATTCAGTACTGTATTAAATCAAACTCTACACGATCGAACATGATATTTATTGTCTAACTTGAAATCGGAATCTTTACGCACTTTATAAGGCACCTTTAGATCATCATGACATCCCCATACGGATTTATGACAAACAAATAGCCTATTTGTAGTCTACTAGTAACCTTTGTCTGTCAAGTAAGTAAAGTTATGCTTCATGAGTTTACAAACCTGCTGCATCTTCACCCACACCAGGAAGTGGTCAGTGAAGAAGACAGGGACTGTTTGACAGTGGTGAATATCAGATCAAGTTCTCCACCCTTGATGTGTGTGTGTGTCAGAACTGTTTCCCCCATGTTGGAAGTGAAGATACAGTTTCAACCAAAAGACACAGAAAGTTGCTGAGTGGGCCTGTAGGTCGGTATACGACTACAACCAATACCGATGTATCTGAATGTGTAACCATAACTGCCATCAGCTCCAGAGATGTCGGACAATGAAGATGTGTGTAACTCATCTCTTTCTTAACTAGCATTGCTACTCCGTGATCAGATGCCTTGTGTCGGAATGAACGAGATGGGAGACGATTGTATTGGTGTATTTCCTCAACTTGGAGATGGATTTATGTGAGGCATACCATTGACATTGTATTGGTGAATACAGGAGGTGATCGTAATGTGTTTAGAGTCCACGCACATTGAGATGTCCAATCAGAAGTGAATCTTGTGGAATGCTCAGCAGGGAAGACTTCCAAGAGAACAAACCACCCTCTTTCAGTCACCCCATGTCCTTAAGAGCATCTTTATTGACTGGGGATCAAAGCCAACTAGATGTAGCCCTTGTCTTGAGGTAACCCTACTTACCATTATGCACACACGTCCTTGCATAATTGGCCTTGTGACTTGTGATCAGTAACAGCCTATCTAAGAACACCAGGATACTGTTTTCTTTCCACTGGCAATGAAAGATTTGACTGTAACAGCCCGAATAGGAGTTGTTTCCTTCAGGTGTGGAGGATTTCCTCTTCTAGCTCGCAATTCTTCATTAACATGGTCTGAATGAAAGGTACCCCCTTGGTTCTTGAGATATCGCAAAGACCAAATTATCGTAACGACCTTGAAAATGTCAACTGGCATCTGGACATCCTCCATATACACCTTGGTGCCATATATGAAATTAATGAACGAACCTGTTCTCCGGATATCGCAACTACAAGGAATACGAAGTGCAAATCTTTAAATTATTGTAATGACCTTGAAAATGACACCAAAATCTGGACATCCACCATAAACACCTTGGTGCCAAATATGAATGAAATGTACCAACTGATTCTTGAGATGTCGCGCCAACACTTTTTTTCGGACGTACGGAAGGACGGTCGTGAATACTATGTATCCCGGCTTCGCGCT